TTTTTTTAAATCTGTATAAGTGACAGATTCAAGAGGAGCAGGGGCTGCTAAATTTTCAGCAATTTCAAATGCATCTTGACCACAGACACACAGCAAAGTAGCGGCCTTCAAGCCATCTTCCCTTACTCTAAAGTAATTTTCTACCCTGGCAACATAAGACTCCCATCTTTCTGGATGCGTGGCATCGAATTCAGACAATCTCCCTATCTTCGCCATTCTTGCTTCTTTGTAAGGAAGGGGTCTATCAGCCAGCTTACCTCCAGCGACGCTGTACTGGCAGGCCAGGTGCTGAGTTTAACGCCGTCTTCCTCTCTTCAGGACTCCTGGGTAAGCTTACAATTCTTCTTTTTGTTTGTTGTAAGCCATCCCACCTTTGTCGCCAGTGTTGAGTCCTCAAATCAATGGCGAATGAGTACAGCACATTCTGTAGTTCCAACAGCTCTTTACTGAAGTCTTTTCCACTCCGTCACAGCTCTGAGGCTCGCAGGCCTCTCAGACTCCTTTTAACAACGTCCCCGGGCAAAATGGTAACAATTAGGCATGCTCTGCGCCTCGCACATGCGCGCGAAGCCGGTGCCAGCCAGTCTCGTCCCGGGCAGCTTGCAACTGCCTGGGACCATTGCAACGCCCTGAGCCTGCCTTTGCAGGCTCAGGACACAACAAATACCACCTAATTTCTCCCCATTAGCTATGTGTGGCTCACCACTCCTCTAAGCGAGTATGTGTCCTGGGGCCAGAGAGTGATGGTGTAAAGCAATTGATTGCTATTCTTTCTAGGCACATTACTTTTGCCAATGTCCTCAAAACATTTAAATTACAATTAAAAAATACAGACCCTTTCCAGGTGTGGTTTGTTCTTTTTTCAACATAAGACAATGTTGGCCAGAGCGAATATGGATATTTGTGTTTATTCTAACCTTTTTTTCCCAAGGGATTCTTCCTGAGCACTTATCAGCCCAGGAAGACAATATGTGATTCACTGAATCACTGTATTGTTAATCAGGTTCTACTGCTATCTTTTACTTTGTTCTTGGACAGATCAGGCAGAGTCAGCAAATTATCTGGTTTGGAAAGGCTGAGTGTTTCTGGTTTTCTGGGTGCCTGTTGACTAAGCTCAATGCCTGAGCCTGTGGTCCGAGCGGGAGGGTCATACAGCTGCAGCTGACTCATGGATCAGATGACCAGCTGATGAGTGAAGACACATTCTTTCAGTAACTGCTCCCTCTTAACTGTATTTTTTTTTTAGAAAAAGAACAGGCAGTAGGGGAAATTGAGAAGTTGAAACTGCTTCCTTGCTTGCTCATTTGATTTATACAACCACACATCTTACAGAGCATAACTTTGGGCAGATTACAATAAAAATATTTTTAAAAAACCCACAATACTAAATCCTAGTGTCCCCAGTTGTAATACATCCACTGCTCCATTTAGCTTCAGCCTCACATTATCCCAACACTTTCGGGAAAAGTCAAGTCAAAGCTTTTGGAAGGCTAGAAAGGTAGGGCTTATCAGATCTCAGGAGGAAGGGTGCTCTAGTCCAGAGGTCCCCAATCTTTTGTGCACCAGGGACTGGTTATGTGCTGCCTGCATCCTGCGGATGGGGCTTTGCAGATGGGACCAGTTGCTGGCATGCCATGGACTGATACTGGTCCACCGGTACCGATCCTTTAGAATAGAGCAGGGGTCCAACGTGCTCTAGTCTAAAGGGCAGGGGGCAGTGCCTAGATCCCACTAAATTACCATATTTAAGGAAACAGTCTGGAATCTGCTCATTCAGCAGATCTGATGGAACAGGCAGATACCAGCAAGAGTCAAAGATGATGTCTTGCCAGAACCTGGCAACCCAGAACCATTTAATTTTGCTAGGTTTGAATTGAAGCCGGTTCCTCCCTATCCAAATCCTTATAGCATCCAGGCACTCAGCCAGAATTGTTTGGCTAGCCAGGGATATAAATGTGTAGTTGGGTATCATAAACTCACTGAAGATGCCACACTGTAAGAAATAATTTTGAGGAAATAACAGGAGGAACAGCTACAACTAAGACAACAGTCAAATTAAAAAAAAAAAAACGAGTTCAGAGCAGAAATGTAATATGAGAAAGCATCAGACGTGACCCTCCCTAGTTCTCATGAAGATAAAGGGGGGAGGTGAAAGTGGGTTCATATTTCAAAATTTGGTTACTATAACCTTATAATAAAAATAATATTAGTTTCCATGTTTTTGGTTTCCAAGTTTGAACTGCTTTGGAGGGCAGACATATACAACATGCCATTGGATGAGCTCTTCCAAGCTGCATCAAGTACATGTTGAAAAAGGAAGAGTGAAAGACTTGGGCACTGATCCAAAGGTACTTTTCATGAGGCAACTGGACTTTGTTTTTCCTTGAAGATGTTTCGCTTCTCATCCAAGAAGCTTCTTCATTTCTGATTCAAGCACCGAGACACTCCAAACTGAGGAGGCCAAGGGTGTCCACCAACTGGAACCTACCACAGAAGGAGGAGAACCACAGCAAAACATTGCCAGAGTAGTCCAGGAAATAATCAAAATCAGTGATACTAGAAACCACTGAAAGATCCAGAAGGGTCAGAATGAATGGACCACTTCATCCCAGGTCCTCCACAGTTAATCCATAAACACAACTAAGGCTACTTTAGCACTATAATCAGGCCTGAACCCTGACTGCAAAGGGTCTAAACTGCAGACCAAGCTGGTATTAAATAGCAATAGCCAGAGTCCGGGGGTATCAGGGCTCCAGAGAGCAGGTCTCGTGGCTGAGCACAGGGGGTCAAAATATAGTATTGGTCTTAAACACTGAGGCCCTCCCACCATACTTCCTGATGCCGATCAAGAAATACAAGTCAGAGTTCTCCACTGTGACTCTCTCAGAATAACAAAGTTGGAAGGGACCTTGGAAGTCTTTTAGTCCAACCCCCTGCTGAAGCAGGAGACCCCGTACCATTTTGGACAAATGGCTGTCCAGTCTCTTTTTAAAAACCTCCAGTGACGGAGCTCCCACAACCTCTGAAGGCAAGCTGTTCCACTGATTGCTCTGACAGGACATTTTTCCTTAGTTCTAGGTTGGTTCTCTCCTTGATATGTTTCCATCCGTTACTTCTTGTTCTGCCCTCTGGTGCTTTGGAGAATAGATTGACTCTCTTTTCACTGTGACAACCCTTCAAATATTGGAAGACTGCTATCATGTCACCCCAGTCCTTCCCTTTGTTAGACTAGACGTACCCAGTTCCTATCACCATTCATCATATGCTTTAGCCTCCAGTCCTCTAATCATCTTTGTTGTCCTTCTCTGCACCCTTTCTGGAGTCTCAACATCTCTTTTGTATCCTGGTCACCAAAACTGGATAAAGTACAGGTAGTCCTTGACTTACAACCACAATGAAGCCCAACATTTCTGTTGTTAAGCGAAACATTTGTTAAGTGAGCTTTGCCCCATTTTATGGCCTTTCTTGTCACAGTGGTTAAGTGAATCACTGCAGTTGTGAAATTAGTAACACAGCTGTTAAGTGAATCTGACTTTGCTTGTCAGATGGTCACAAAAAGTGATCACATGACCCCGGTACCCTGAAACCGTCATAAATGTGAGTCAGTTGCCAAGCATCTGAATTATTTTTTAAATATATTTTATTAGATTTTATATGGGTAGGGAAAAGGTGGGGTCGGGGCGGGTACAGGGAAATCGAGATAAAGGGGACAGGGTGTGGATAGCTACAGTAAATACGTGATTCAGCCAACAAGCTGTCGTCCGGGTCTTCATATTGAGTATTATTGTTTATATAACACTAGACATTTATAAGAATAAATTGGTATAGTTACAACTGACTTTTGGTAAAACAGTAATATTCCTTTAAATAATTAACATAGTTGATAGCATAGCAACTATTTCCAATCATCAAGCTTAATACTTAATATAATAAAGCTCTAAAATCTCTTCTTATTCTAATGTGTTTCAACCCACTGATAAAATTTTCCCCAGGTTTTATAGAAAATTGAATCCTCTTTCTCCTTCATCTCTAACGTTAATCTGTCCATTTCTGCACAATCTAGGTAGATTTTCAAAATTATAATCTGGTCTGATGGTAGGTTTTCATTTTTCCAAAATTGGGCGAATACTATTCTTGCAGCTGTCAATACATGTAATATTAAATAATCATTTTCTTTGCCGTAGTTAGGTCTTAATATACCTAACAGGAACAGTTCTGGTTTAAATTCTATCTGGATTTTCATCATCTTTTCTAACCATCTATGAATCTTAGACCAATATTTTTTTGCAATAGAACATGTCCACCAGGCATGATAATAAGTACCCAGTTTTTGCTTACATTTCCAACATGTATCTGATAAATTTTTAAACATTTTCGCTAAGCGAGCTGGTGTCATATGCCATCTATAAAACATTTTATATAAGTTTTCTTTGTATGTTACTGCTTTAGTAAGTTTGATATTTTTATCCCACAGTTTTTGCCAGACTGGCAAAGCATCTGAATGTTGATTACCTGACCCTAGGGATGCTACAAGAGTCGTAAGTGTGAAAAACAGTCATAAGTCACTTTTTTCAGTGCCATTGTAACTTTGAATGGTCACTAAATGAAGTGTTGTAAGTCAAGGACTATCTGTACTGTATTCCAAATGTGGCCTTACCAAATCAGTATAAAGTGGTATTAACACTTCACATGATCCTGATACTGTTCCTCTAGCCTCTCCCTGCCCCTCCTTTTTACCTGTGCTATATACTGGCTAAGAGACTGTTCTGTCAGCATTAAATCTCCACTCTAATAATACTAGATTTTCTAGTTGTTTTTCTGAAAAGGGCACAAAGCTAGGTTTTTCACAGACATACAAGAATAAATGGTTTCAGACTTGCGTAACAGGAACCGCTTGCTTTTTTTTCTTCCTCAAAGCCAGCTCAATGTTTGTTTTTGAAGAATTGGGATAGAATAATTCCAATGTCTGAAGAGCTCCAACAATAAACTGCATGCAAAACTAATGTATCATTTGTTTTTAATAGAATTAAAACGCGTGCAGATTTAACAGTAACATCTTTGTAAAAAAATGGTATTTTTTTTTAACTTTTGCAAATTAAGCACTACACTTATAGAGATATCTGTATATACACCCCACAGGAATGTAACAGGAGAAAAGAACTCCTAAATAACTCTTCAGAAGTAAGTCAAATCATCATGCTTTTCTTTCTTGCTCTGGTAATTAGTGAGCTCCACCGGCTTGTTTTCATGCGGGAGCCTTTGGTACACTCGCACATGAAAGTACTCATCATTCCCCACATGGATCTAGAAAATACAAAAAACAATCAGATCCAATACCAGGAAAAGGGAGAGAAAGTCTGGTCTGATTAGCAAGAAATACTGCCTATAAACATTTTACAATATCTCAGGAGCCCCTAGGAGTGAGAGGTCTGCATCCAGACCGCTGGAAGGGTTTTGCCATCTCCATCTTTCTTGCCTTGAAAATGGACTCCAGAGTAACAGAATAACATAGTTGGAAGGGACCGTGGAGGTCTTCTAGTCCAACCTCCTGCTCAGGCAAGACACCTTATATCAATTTAAACAAATGCTTGTCCAATCTCTTCTTAAAAACCTCCAGTGTTGGAGCACCCACAACTTCTGAAGACTACTGATTCCACGATTAATTGTTCTGTCAGGACGTTTCTCATTAGTTCTAGGTTGTTTCTCTCCTTGATTAGTTTCCACCCATTGCTTCTTGTCCTGCCTTCTTGGTGCTTTTGAGAATACCATCTCCCTCATCTTTGTGTCAGTCTCTTAGATATTGGAACACTGCTATCGTGTCTTCCTTGGTCTTTCTCTTCAGTAGATTAGCCATGCCCAGTTCCTGTAACCGTTCTTCATATGTTTTAGCCTCCAATCCCCTAATCATTTTTGTTGCTCTTCTCTGCACTCTAGTCTCAACATCTTTTTTATCATATATTATGGCCACCAAAATTGGATGTAGTATTCCAAGTGTGGTTTTACCAAGGCATTATAAAGTGATGTTAACACTGTCCCTTTGAGCTCCATGCACCATGGCTGGAAAAGGCTCTTTTGAGCCTGTTACTGGCCTTGACAGAGGCTCCTCCATTCCATCACACAGCTAAATGGATTGCATTTATACAATTTAAAAAACAGACCCGATCCTTTTCTCCCTGATGCACTACTATTATCTGCACAGAACATTCATGGCAGTTGAACAGCTCCTACATAGATTACCTGAGCAACCTTTATTATATTTATTGCACCGGGCAGCGAATATAACAACAAAGACATTTTTCTTTCAATTGGCAGCAGGAACAGTGACTATTGCCACCTTATGGGGAAATCTAAAATGTTTTCATTTCCAGGCAATAAACTAGATGTAGTTTATCACTCACAAAAACTGGGTAAATCAGGGCTGTAAAAATTTGAATGATGGTTAGAGAGTAGCAAAGAGGCATTGGGGGATTTTTACAGGTAGTCCTAGAGCAAATTTATACTATAGCATCTTATAGGAACCACATGTGCTACCTTGATGAAATAGTTTACTCCAGCAACCACTTGTGTTTTATATGAAACAGCATTGAAGATGGTAAAGTTCCTGCTTTCTTTTTCTTCCAGTTGTGACTTTATCTTTGGGAACAGAAAAGAGAGAAAAACACATGTTGTTGCTGTTTAAAACTACCAAAACACACATCCTCCAATACCACATTCATTACTGAAGATACAGACAATAAATGCAGAAGTGAAATAAAAAATGAAAAGATGCTCTCTAAAAAGATACCACAGAAAGCATCTGTTTTCCAGCTTGAAATACCCCAAACCAAATGTGGTACATACTTGAGACAATGTTTTACTGTTTTTATTTCCATGCTTCTGTTCAAAGTTTATATTTTTATAAATCCTCAGTCTTAGGGTATTCAAGCACATTTCTACAGATTATACCTCACTCCAAGAGCCAGCTGTTCTACCCCATTTAACATTTGGTGGATAGATCCTAGAATTAGAAGTGTTTGCTTCAGAGATAAAGTATTAAATCATTCTTCTTTTCCAGCTAAACATGTTTTGTGACTATTTGTACAATTCCTTCCTTTTCTGTTTTACATTTAAAGGATTTACTTTATCAGACTATGCTTAGTTTAATTGTTTCTGGAGTGTTTTAGGTGTCCAAATCTAGTAGAAAGGAAGAAATTTCAATGGCATACTGATTTTACTAACTTATTCTGTCTTGTTGGGATGGAAGCTCCACTGATCTCAATGGGAGATTGAGATCATTAAAAAAAGCAGGTCACACATCCTGTCTTATAGGAAAATTCAATTATAGGCTAAATTCAATTAGCCAGCACTATTCAATAGGTTTAGACTTCCCAGTTAGGATGGAAAGCCTATGTTTGGTGTTTTATCATCCTTTGTATTTGAAAATTCTACAGGTGCAAGTAGAATTCAATGTACTTTAGAGTCCTGCTCTAGAACAAAATTCCTACACAGATTACTCATTTAATAAAGCAAATCTATTTCGACTCATGTGACTTCTGATTCTTCAAAAAGGAGCAATTCTGATGGATTACATTTAGAAAATGTCATTGTTTTTTAAAGCATGACTTAGTGAACAGAACCACAATTAACTTAGCTTATGCCACATGTTAAACCATCACAGTGGTTTAGTTCACAGTGCAAAGTATGCCAGAATCAAGGATATTTTATGTTCTTTTTTATTGTAAGGACATTATAGAGCAGTGGTGGCAAACATATAGCATGCGTGCCAGAGGCGACACTCAAGAGCCCTCTCTGTGGACACGCGCACTGCTAGCAGCTCGCGCAGGTCCATTAGGCTGCCGCCGCCCAGAGCAGCAGCCCCGCCCAGCACAAAACAGGCAAAATGGCTGGCTAGCGAGCTCGAGTAGAGATGTTAGGCTGAGTATCGAGGTGGCCATGCCTACATGGCCACACCCACCCAGTCTGCTGTGACCACCCTGGCCACGCCCACCCATTGGGCCACACACCCCGCCCTCCCTGAGGGAACCACAATGCTGATGCAGCCCTGGCACTTTACAATAAATAAGTGGGTTTCGGGTTGCGGTTTGGGCACTCGGTCTCTAAAAGGTTCACCATCACTGTTATAGAGTAACAATATGTCGCTATGTCAATCGTGAATGTATGCACAATTGTGAATTAGAAAAGTAATATATCAAAGAATTAATAACCATGAAGTGAAATGAAATGGAAATACTATTTATTCAGTCAATTGCCAAGCAAAATGACAGCAAAGGGATTTGGAAGACAGGACAATCTAAACAGGAGAAATTATCTTGTTCTGTAGAAAGTGATGCACAAAAGTTTATTTGCTAAACTTCTCTGTGACACCACAAGGTACATCAGGAACCAGCAAAGACATGTTCAACTTGCTGTGCCTGGTAGGTAATTAGAGAACAGCAGCAGAGAAAGCAGTCCTACACTGCAACCAAGTGGTGCATTAAAAGCAAATGTTATATCCTCTCATTAAATCAAAATATTTGGGAGGGGCACTTCTTGTTGCTCATTTTGTCCTAAATCAAGAGGTTATATTCTTCCACTTGGTCAATCTTATGACTGAACATTCTGTCCAGATAATTTTACAAATCTCTGGAAATGCAATATTTACAGTACTGTAAAGCACAAGCAAAAGTTTAATTTTGGATATAAACCAGCTCTTTACTGAAATGTCTTACTCAACTAATTTTCAAACTTCAAAAGAAATAAAATACTGGAAAACAGATGCTATTTCCTGCCCTACTTTTTGTAATGAGTGACAACTGGTTCCCCAGAATGAAGCAACAGCTCTAAAATATCAGTTTAATCATTTCATAAAATAATTTCTGGATTTAAAAAAAATATTCTGCTTTTTTCATATAGAATTCAAGGCTGATCAGATACTCTTTTCCTCTTATTTTCCCCACAACAAGCTGCTAGACACCCATCCTGCAAAAGATATCTAAGCCTACAGAAAGAAAGGGGGCGTAGGAAGTGTCTCCGGAGGGACCTTCCCTAGTTTTCTGGAAAGTAAAAGCAAAGGAGGAGAGAAATACTTCCGGGCTTTTAAGAGACGTTAATGTAATCTTAAAGTTAAAGGTAGTATTCATTGTTGTACTTCTTATCTGGACTACCTTGAAGGCTAACTGTGTGTCACAGCTTTTACAGGCTGAGGATTCCCGGGGGGAGGGGGCAGCTGTCTGTCCGGGTGTTTTAAAGGGGACTTGACCATAACAATGGAAGGAGGCCCTCCAATATGGGCTTTTGGAGAGCATCTAAAATGCATCCACTCGGCCAACATGGGACACCCAATGGCAGATTCCAACCGGTCTGCTAGGATTTGTTTTGTCAAACCGCAGCCATAGTTGGTCGAAAGGGCGAGGCAAGAAGCAGAGCAGACGGTTTCATCCCAGCACTACCCGGGCTTCCCCCCAAGGCTGAAACAACCAAAACGCAGCCGCCACCTCTGAATACTCTTCAGCCCTCCCGGTCCCAGTGCCAAATTATGAAGGATAAAGTCTTTGTTCGGATAAAGCCAAGTTACAAAGGCAACAATGGGGGAACTTTGGCGGGCAACTGAAGGCTTCAGGGGAGCGCCTGTAGTGGGGAGAAAAGAGAAAGAAGTTCTCCGGCGAGGTTGCCCCTGCAAGGTTGGCTCTCTCTCTCTCATTCTCTCTCTCTCTTTGTCTTACCTCCTGCGAGATTTGCTGAGTCTCTGCAGTAGCTGCCTTTGGCTCGGAGAGTCCGCCGCACGACATCGCAGGTGGAGGGAAGGCGGAGGAGGTGGAAAACGCAAACGCAATCCGAGTGCGTCCCCCCCACCGCCGTCCGGCCCTTGTATACCCTGTCCCCTATTAGGGGCGTAACCAGAATATGCGGGACAGAGTATTTCCGGGTTCCGATTCTGTGAGTGGGAGGCAAGAAGCTGGGAGGCTGGAGCGAAGGGGATAGGCTTGCTCGTGACGGCGACTCAGTTAAGAATGTGTCCGTCCCCCCCCCCCCGGTGTGGAAATAAAGGATAGGAAGAAAAGGAGGAAAATATACTTCTCCTAACTCAGTCATTTTTATTTGAGCGGCTTAGTTCTTAAACGCTGCGTGATTGCAGGTAGAATACAAATATAAACCATTATCTTGTCCTGTGGAATAAACGGTCTGTAATATGGAGGCAGCGTTTTCACACCGTGCTCTAAATCAGAAACATGCATGGAAAGCACGGGCCCTTATTGTTACACGTCATCCCCCAGAGGCCACCAGCAAATCCTGTATCGCATCTAGCCAATATTTTAGGCAATGCCTAAAGTTTTGCTCCAGTAGGTGGATTCTAACCCAGTGGTTCTCAATCTGTGGGTCGGGACCCCATTTGGGGTCGAATGACCATTTCACGGGGGTCGCCAAACAAGGCTGCCCGCCATTTTTTCCCCCTTTTCTTTGGCCACATGCCTGGCACCCGGTGATGTATAAGTGGTTGGGGGCCACCACAACATGAGGAACTGTATTATGGGGTCGTGGCATTAGAAAGGTTGAGAACCACTGTTCTAACCGATCATTTTAGTTTTGCGAGGGATCCCCCTGAATCACTCCCACGAATTAAAGCAAAAGAATGGTAGATGGAGCCTTGAGAAATTGCCAACTAATACACAACAAAACACAACACTCACCTGCCCAAGCTGCATAGAAATAGGAGAATCCATGCCTTGTGTGATACTAGTTTTCCTTGTTTCTGGAAGAATGTTTTTTAAGGATCTCTTTTACAGGAAATTTGGAGGAAATCTCTAGTAAATATGTGTTTCGTATGAACTGATGCCTCAGATCAACAGTGAGAAAGCAAAAAAAAATATTAGCAATAATGATTTTTATTTTAATAAAAATGATCTGTAGCTAATCTTAGGTGCTTTGCAACAGTTTTTACTATAAGAGTCCTCAGAGGTGGTTTTCGATTGATTTGGAGGGTTTGCATTTATCTTGTATACTGACAGAAGTGCACATGACAACAAATGTGTACATGTTCATGACAATATTTGCTGAACTATGGATGCTCAGAAATAATGTTCATCTAATAATAACATATACAATGACAATACTGTAATGCTGTAGAAGCCTCCTGAGCTTTGAGCTGTGCTATTGAAACTTTGTAACTGTGTTTTAGTTACAGTTGCACATTAAGCAAACTACGAAAGACCCACTAATGATAGTTTTATATATCCACCTCAGGTCACCTACATGATGCCATAGAGGTTCTGTTCCAGTATCTGGAAGCTATGGAAGCCTAGATACACAATGTGACCCTGGATGTCTGAACTTTTACATGCAGCAGACAAAGGCATTTAAATGTAGGTTTACAGTGATTTCTTACCAAATGATCCCTCCCCAGACAAGAGAAAATACAATGGGTAGAAAAGTAGTGATTCCAAGATCTCAGAGTGGTTAATCCATGTCCAATAGCAAGAATCCAGTGCAAGCTGTATAGAATGATACTAATAATATTTCAGGATCTATACTAGTATGAAATGGAGACTATATAAATACTTAATTACTTTAGAATGGCATTAACATGGATTTTTGAGCAACTAGTACTTGGCTAACTAAACTTAAAATTACTTTTAAATAATACAATATAGTTGTATATAAATTGCAGCAGATTTATCAACATTTATCAGACTATTTCACCCTCTACATTTTCTATTCCCATAATATGTATATATTTTTTAATTTTCACATCTAATCTATTTCTTCATGAATCAAAAATATACTTCCTTTCTCAGTTCTCTCTACTTCATATTCCTGAGAAGCTTCAATTGTAAAATTATTTTTCGTTTACTACTGAGTTGACTATTGATAGTTTCTTCTTCTAAAAGACGCAGGCATTCAAACACAGTTGTTAATAATACTTAATGTAAAGCACTGATATGATGATATAATTAATTTTACAGGGCACTTTTTAAAATTTGTCTAACTCATAGCAGTAGCAACAGTCTCATTACGAATGATTTCTGAAATTTCCTGTTCTTAATGGACTAAGAAATCAAAGAACTGTGATAGAAAAGCACTGCTTTTAGTTTATAAGATGAGGGGGAAATCTCTTCTCTGCACTCTTTCACTTTCAAAATCTCTTCTCTGCACTCTTTCACTTTCAAAACATCTTTTTTGTATCACAATGACCAGAACTGGAGGCAGTCTTCCAACTGTGGTCTTATACCAAGACAGTATATAGCACCACTAAGACATCACTTGATCTTGATGCGATCCCTCTGTTGATGCAGCCTAGAATTGCATTGACTTTTTTGGCAGCTGCAGCACACTGTTGGCTCATACTTGTTGTAGTCTGTTAGAGGTCTCCTAGATCCCTCTCACAGTTAATACTGATGAGCCACATACCACCTATTCTATATCTGTGCATTTGTTTTGTTTTTTCTTGCCTAAGGCCTTTTCTTATCATTGAATTGCATTTTGTTGGGCCCAGTGTTCAAGTCTCAGTTTAATTCTCAGTTTCCAAATTTAGCAGGACCTGAAAAAGGCTTTGTGTAAAATGAACCAGAGAAAAAACTCCTGGCTAATATTCTCTAAGGATCAACTCAGCATTGAAATTGATAATAATTCAGTATCTGGCTTATGAAATATAATTAATTGAGAAATGTTGGTTAGCACAAAGTTCTGACATGTGAGCCCTATCACTTTTTTTCAACTTGACGCACTTTGAAGAAGCATTACATAAATAATATGGAAATATTTTCATCATATATGCCACTGAGGCTATGGAATTAAAATAAATAACATGTAAGTTTCTGGATACTGAAAATAAAGCTTTTTTATGAGTTCCATGATGCTGCTCTAAGAAGATTGCTATATCTGGGCTACAAAGAAGCTAAGCAACTTAACTGTAGTGTAATTTATTGCCCACTAGCGGTTGCTGAGTTGGTTGCACTTGAAATGTGACTACTCAATGTGTTCCAGATTCCAAGAGTCAGTTGGCTGTTTTGAATATCTGCAAATATTGTATAAGTTATTTTTTTTCCTGCTCTCAGAGCTGAGCTCTTACACTTCTGATAAGGGTTTTGTAGTTATTAAAAAGATTGGAAATTATCAGGCTCCAAAGTGTACTGCAATAATCAAAATAAATCTGGAATTTATATTGCTGTGCATATCCCTGATATTGACAGGTCTTGATAATATCTGCCTTTAAGATGTGGACTTGAAAGATGGGGGCATTTAAGGCAGGTTCCCTTCACCCATATCTGTATTATTTTTGTAATGCTGGTGCAACACCTTTGCCTTCTATAATCAGTCTATCCAAAGATTTTTAAAATGTCATAGGGCAAGGGCATGTGTGCACCTTCTTGTCAATTCTAGCAGCCAATCTGCAAGTTTGCCTATGTCTTGAGGATCATTCATTATAGGATGCTTTTGATCCTGCATTCCCTTTTTGCCCATATTAGGTTTTAACATACAATAGGCCTGACTCAGGATTTGTCTTTTTCACCTAATGCAACAGATTTAAGGTTTATGTAAACATTTAGGGAGGAATAATGTCATTGAGAGTGATAAGGAGATGATCTGCCAAGAAGAAAAAAATAGTATGAACCAACAATAATTCAGTTCTAATAAAACAAGGATCTGATACCTGAATGTGCTGATTTTTACAACGGAATTGTTTCCTTGAACAAGTAAGGGTGTTTTTTTGTGTGTGTGGGGGGGTGTTAGCTGCAGGTGTGATAGTAGGAAACACTGGAGAAATAAAATTCATCTTTCATTGGCTCATTTAATAGCATTGGAAATTGCCTTGGCTAGAGCTTTGATATAGAACAAAAAGCTTTCGAAAAAGCTTACAATAAAGAATATATTTATTCACATTCACTTACCTTTGACTGCTGTATTAATAAAAGTTTCCTAATAGATTTTTTTAATCTGTACAAATCTCCTTTGGCATAGAAATAGTGTATATGGATTTTTAAAATATTTGCATATTTGCATTTCTTTATTTTGATTGTTTTTGTCACTATATGTCTTCCTACTTAATTCTGGTTCTTTATAATAATGTTTCTCATTCTGCAAAAAACAGAAAAGATGGACAAGCAAGTCAATCAATTTCATTTAAGAGAGGGAATTAATTTTTGAGAAGATTTGGAAAGATGAGCCCTGGTAGCAAAGTGATTAAAATGCAGTATTGTAGGCATACTCTGCCCAGAATCTGGAGTTCGATTCTCACCGGCTCGAGGTTGACTCAGCCTTCCATCCTTCCAAGGTGGGTAAAATGAGGACCCAAATTGTTGGGGGCAATAGACTGACTCTGTAAACTACTTAGAGAATGCTGTAAAGCACTATAGGGCAATATAAAGTCTAAGTGCTATTGCTATTGTAAATTAGTGGTCCACAGAACATGAACCAACATCTGCAGCTATGATCTGAGCTCTGTTCTATACACATTTCTCTGTATGGACATAATATAAGTGGGTACTGTATAGATTCTTTTATCAATACAAAAACTTGAGAGGATATTAAGGTATAGGATTATTTATATTTATGAAAAACATAAAGGTATACAATAGTTTGCTGTTACTGAGTACATGTACTGATAAAGGAAAATAGGCAAGCAATTCTAATAAAACAGAATCCAATTCTCATTTTGCACTTTGGCTCAAAATGAGACTAGTGTAATGTGCAAAATATTTTGAATGTAAATGGTTTGACTTCAAAACAGGTTAATTTGATTATCCTGGAATTTCTTCAGTTCATAATGGTGTATTTCAAATATCATTTCAAGTGAAAATGTTTTGTATGCCTTTGGTGATTTTAAAATTATAGTAGATAATGGGTTAAAATTTTGGAACAAAACAACTTTTTTTTTTGCTTAAGAATTAATATTTTACTCCTTAAAATCTCCCCCAAATAGCAAAGACCAGTTTCTTAGGGATTTATTTTTTTAAAAGAGGTTGGGGGGGAGGGTGGGTATTATAAATGGGTTTGGGGAGGGCATCTCATTTTAGATGAAATTTATAAAATCTTGGGAGAAACAGGAGCTGGTAAGTATGCATTTCTCCTTCTCTTACAATTTCAAGATCCCTTTGTGTTGAAGTAAATGCCTGAATTAGGGCTAAGCAAGACCATATACATGATCTAAAACAAGGCTTTTCAACCAGTGGTACGGGTATTACCTGTGGTACATTGGCACCTGGCAGGTGGTACGCCACCATCCTAGAAAAGTGGTAGCGGGGGAGGGGAATGAGATGAACTGGTGGCAGCATCGCACAAGCCTGAGCGAGAAATGGCTGGAGCTGCAAGGCTGTCAGGGCTCAGCGGAAGCGCCAGGATCAGCACTTCTTCAGGACTGTCAGGGTTCAGTGGAAGCACCAGGATCAGCGCCAGGCTCCAGCTGGAGCTCGGCGCTGATCCTGGCGCTTCTGAGCCCAGAAGAAGTGCTGAGCAGCTGGAATGTTGCAGCATCTCCAGGGTCTTGTGATTTACATTCAGATGCTTGGCAACTGATTCATATTTATGACGGTTACAGTGTCCCAGGGTCATGTGAAGTGACCAAAACCTGCTGCAACCACCCAGCAGATGGGGGGAATAAAAACCAAACACCCCCCACCCCACCCCCGCTGCCAATTCTCAACAGAAATGCTCACAACTATGAAAACCTTGGACAGGAGGAAGAGCACCACTGGGCGGGCAGGCGGTGTCTTGCTCGGCTATGGCTTGGGGGGCACTTTTCTCAGTGCCATTGTAACTTCAAAGAATCACTATGCAAACTGTTGTAAGTCGTGGACTACCTGTACTTCATCACTTTTTTCCTTTTGGGGGGGGTCAAGTTTTTGATATCTTGCTAGGCGACTGGTGGTACTCGGATACTGCCATATCCCAAAAGTGGTACAATGGGTGAAAAGGTTGAAAAGCCCTGATCTAAAAGAAAGCATACCGTATATACTTTATTTTTTTTTATATAATATTTTATTGATTTTCTCATTTTACAACTGGATATTTAAAAAGCAACGTGATGGCTGGATTAATCAATAGTTCAATAGCGTGCATAAATCTTTAGTAAAAATCTTATGTTACAACATCAGATATTTCTTCTCTTTTTCCATTAATATCTGTTATCCCATATTAGGCTAATATACTTTACATGTACTGTGTGTACATTGTATGTCTCTGAGCTCTGCTTTAGTTTTTGTACATTTCACGATTTGTTTTCCTGGAATTAGATGTGTTGCCTGAGAGCCCAGGGGAAGGAAGCCCAGTGATGCAATGGTTAGGAGGAGTTCCTGGGAAAGCAGCAACAGCAGCAGCAGCAGCGGCTGGTATAGCAGAAGGAGGGCAGACAGGCTGAGCCTGGAACTTAGGCAGGAGGGTCTCACCTTGGTTTCTTAATGGAAAAATGGCACCCCTGGCAACCCTAATCTGCCCTTCACTCCTTCTATTGCTCATTTATCATGCAAGTAAGTGAACATGTTTTTGTGGTCTTGTTTTCAATTCCATAAATGATTAATACGATATTTTAAAAAGAAAGATGTTGCCTAAGAAAATTTCATTAAGTTTTAACATGATGAGATTGTGGGTTTCTGAATGCAATTTTGCGACCTGGGTAAATGTCAGGATTGATATACATTTTAGATAATAAATGAATCATATTTTAAACCTATTTTAGATAATGTATATAATTGTTGATACAATTTAACATTATTTAATGGATTATATTTATGTTTTATTTAATAGATTAAACTACCTCAAAAAAGTTTTGAAAAGCAGAATAGAACAGAATAGAATAACAGAGTTGGTTCTAGTCCAACCCTCTGCTTAGGCAGGAAACCCTATGCCATTTCAGACAAATGGTTCCCCAGTCTCTTCTTAAAAACTTCTAGTTTTGGAGCATTCACAGCTTCTGGAGACAGGTTGTTCCAATGATTAATTGTTCTGACTGTCAGAAAATTTCTCCTTAGTTGTAGGTTGCTTCTCTCCTTGGTTAGTTTCTATCCATTGCTTCTTGTCCTGCCTTCAGGTGCTTTGGAGAATAGGTTGACTTCCTCTTCTTTGTGGTAACCTCTGAGATTTTGGAATACTGTTATTATGTCACCCCTAGCCCTTTTTTTCAAAGCCTATGATGGGAAAAGGCCAGAAATTATTGCAAACTGATAGAAACACCCTGGGCTCTCAGATGCTTGAACTATGTAAATGATATCCAAGGAATATCATAGATACTCCTATTTCCAAGTTAGGTTGGGCTAACTTGTGTACATGAGAGAGAAGAAGCTCAGCAAAATAATTGGTAGGTGGAAGATCCTGTACAAGGAATGCAAATAACTGACCTAAAAAATAATGTATGAAAATTATATAATACCGTATATTTTGTTTTATTTATTTTACAAATGATTGAAAAATGTACTGCTTACCTAATCCTTGTAGTGTATGGGAAATATTAGATTCAATTGATTGATTGATTGATTGACTGACTGACTGACTGACTGATTGATTGATTGACTTAATTTTTTCTTTGATGACTAAATCTAAGCTGGCTATTCCATTATCTACTGTAGATGCATTGGATGTGTTCAGGGTACGTCCGTTCGACAATATTTCTCTGCCCTGCCATTTCTCCTTTGTGGATAGCACAGAAGGTTTATCCTTCACCTGGGAGAGGGAAGATATCAAGGAGGAGCACGAAGTAGAAGATGATGACTTTTATAAATATTTTGTCGGACTCCATGATTTTTATCAGTTTTATCCGAAGGTGATATACAGCTTTAGCAACAACATGGAACAAGAGGAAGAACGGAATTCCCTCTATGAAGGCAGGGTCTGGGTGGATGAGGAGGAGATTCCCGAGGGCAGCCTGACCCTCATGCTGGACCAGGTTCAGTTTTCTGATGAGGCCATGTACATATGCAAGGCCACTAATTCACGGGGCAGAGGGCTAAGAAAAATGAAGCTTGTTGTGGAAGGTAAGAATGCTCGTCTATTTTCCGGCATTGCCCCCAGTTGAAAATACCTAATACTTCTATTTGTACACCAAGGAGTATCACACTGTGCAAATTACCTTCTGTAAATTGCTGAAGCTTCTTTTCTTCTGCTATGAATCTTATCTGTTTATTCTACAACAAGCCTGACTTCTGTAGCAGAAGGCACTTTTCAAAGCAAATATATTTCCTCTCCCCAATTTTTTTTATCTTCCTTAGAAAACAAATCAAATCACAGATACAGAGTGAGGGATAGATGACTTAGCAATAGATAGTAAAATATGCAATAAAAACAATAACAGAGAATAAAAGATAGTAAATAACATTTAAAAATATCACAAGAAACTTACTTTTAAAAAGACTAAGAACAAATTAAGACTCCAGCAATTTTTGTATATACTGCAAAATTGTTGCAACTCAAAAATCCTTAGTTAACAATCTTTCAACAGACAATCAAAATTGAGTCAGAATATGAAGGGTAAGTGATTTTTCAGGAGCAATTTTACAACACTGGACCCCCCATTTAAATGAGACCTTTCATCTTAAGGTCTCTTAAAAGGTCACTGACATTAGTGCATCCTATTTCCAAGTGCCGAGAAATACCAAGATTCCACTGTTAATCTGGCCTTAGGTAGTTTTTGGAAATGACTTTCTTTGTAACTTTGTTTCTATAAAATAGCTTGCTTTTTAAAAACAGATGCACAGAGCCTGAGTATGATAACATTAAAAGCATTAACATTTCAAGAGGATTATTTTCACTAACATAAGTGAATGCAGAATGCCATAGAAGTTTCTGATATGTCAAGTAAAATCTTTTTCTGAATATATATTTTACCCTTCAGCAACTTCAGCTGAAAAGGACTAGAAATAGCAATAGAAGAATAAGCTGGAGTGGTTAAGTAGTTTGCTTAATTAGGAGAACTTAAATTGCATTTCTAAGCAAATCAGATCTTAGCAAATCCTTACATAGTTAATCATGAATACTGACTAAAAGATTATCCTGTAAAGATATTTTAAAAGGGTGAAGACCATTGCCAAGTTGCAACATCATTTGATCAACAAGAACCCTGTTTTTTAGTAAATATAGAGGAATGCAATTTCAAGTGACCTTTCAAAAATGAACATTTTATTTCTAAGCATATGCCACAAACTGAGCCTAGCTGCATTATTCCCACATTCTGCTAACTCATATTATGAGAATAAACAGAGGAATATATTTTACATTATTACTTAAGGCAGGGCAGCAGGTAAGAGAGGAACAGATTAAATAACCAGCAATAAATTGGGAATAGCTCTCAGATTGATAATCCACAAAAGTATAACAAGGCAATAAATAGGCATATTTCTGAGAGTCGAAGGTGAACTTGAAACTAAGTAACAGGCAAACAAGGGACATGACTATCAATGCAGAACAGAAGTATTTATATAAGTAAAGGAGAAGCTTTGAAGATTAATTTTCGGGAAAGAATGTGTTCCTTCTCACACCCACAATTTATGCCCTACCAGTTTTTCTTATTTTATTTCTTAAGAAATCAAGAAATTGCAAGTCACAGCTTGGATGAAATGAATCTTACTAATACTGAGCAAAATATCCTACAGTAGATTTTCAGAAGTTCTAATCCAGCATTTCCCACCTCATGTTTTCTATATATCTAGGATTTTAGCTCTTCTAGTTCTGCAACCTGGATGTCCAATGCCTCTACTGAATGGATAACTACTGGAAATGAAGAATGCAAGCTCTGGAAATATTGCTGTATGACATGTTTGAGAAATCTCAGAGCAATTGTTACAAAGCTGTAATTAGATTATTACTAATTGTTCTGTTTTTCCACCTCTCACAATTAGATGCTGAAGAGCCACAGGTGCAGTTCAGCACAATCGATGATACGCTTGTAGCCAAGTGCATCTCAGCAGGCTGGTATCATATGCCAAAGGTAACCTGGCGCAACCGCAAGGAGGAGGATATATCTGGATATTCCAAGACAGAAATTCTGGAAGAGAAACGGGATGGGTCCCACCGAGTGGTATCTACCTTACATTATCCTGTATTGCTCCATGAAATCTACACTTGTCACATTGAGGAGAGTGATGTGCTCAACAGACCTGTTAGGTCCATCCACAAAGTTCCAAGTTAGTGATCTCCAGTTGAAAGCCTCTATTGGGTGTTGAAAGATGAAATCTGTTGTTACGCAAAGGCATGAGGACAAATTTAAGCATGATAGAGTAACTGTTTTCTTCTTCCCAGCAACCTTGCTCAGGATACTGACACTGTCAGTGGTGGGAAATGGGTAAACAAATTATTGGGATAAGCATATCACTTTTTCCTTCTTCCCATTGACTGTTGTCAAGAGTACCAGGGGCATGAAGGAGAGGGCAATTCAACAAAGAGGAGGGTGAAAATGTTGGCCTTTGAGCCCATCTCCCTATCATAATGGTTGACAAATTCTGGCAATTATATTCAAGAATTTTGTAGTATTACAGATTCCCCAGTTCTAGAGTCATGTGGGTGTGTATGTGTGTGTGTGAGAGAGAGAGACACACACACACAAAGATGTAATGAATGTTAGGAGTATGGAGGATAGATGTACACACATGTAGAACCATGGATCAGACCAACAATCTTTGTAGATTGTTCTCTCATGAGCTAATATTAGTAGACATTATGTAGCTCTCCTGTTTCTTCGTAGCAATTTAGCCACACACAAAAACAATCAGCTTGATTAAGTCTTGCCCTCTGATTATCCATCTTTCCAGGGAAGAGGGAGGAGTAGAAACTTCCAAATGTTGACACACTACTCTTCTGAATGCTCATGAATCCTGGCCATGGAGGCTCAGATTGAGGGTTGTGGTATCTTAGAAGCCATTTCTGGTTTGACAATCAACAAGGTGTCATTTATTCCTAGAACTGGCTTCTCATTTCAGTGAATGCTTCTTGACACCTCAGTTTTAAAAATACGTATTTAAAAATACATATCTAAGAAATATTTTCCATTGAATTCAAAAAAACTTAATTATCAGTAAAATTGGCAGTCTTGAACAGGTGATTAGAATGTCAGAAGTGTTTTATTCTCTCTCACAAAGAGTAGAGAGAATGTGGAGCTCAATTATTTTTTATATGCATATCTCCATCTTCCCTCACTTTTTGCAAAAAAGAGAAAAAGTTAATTTCTGGTATAGCAATCAATAGTGTACTTAATAATTCAGTATACAGTACTTCATTCAAAGACGCAATAGTATTACTGATGCAGCTACCCAAGCTGAATCTCATAAACCTCTCTGAGAAAATAAAATGGTTCCTGGCAAATTAGTTATTTAGAAGTAATTTCTATGATGGTGAAAGAGCATTAGGCCACTTTCTGTGAAAATTTGTGTTGATTATGTAAGTACTTATCCTGAACTTTAGGATGGAGTATGAAGCTGTGAATGTCCCTACAGAAAAATGGGAAAGATTTCTTCTCTTCAGGGCCAAATTCTTAGAAGACTTATTTGCTAGTGAGACAACATATCAATTGTAAATGGTGTTATTTATTATTTATCTATCTGGCACTTTTTTTTCTTTAACTTTCTCATCAAAGATCATTGTTCTACTACAGATTTGCAGGGTCTTCTAGAGCAGGGCTTTTCAAGTTTTTCACCCATTGTACCACTTTTAGGATATGGCAACATCCAAGTACTACCAGTCACCTTGTAAGGTGTCAAAAACTTGATGACCAAAAAAAAAAAAAATGAAAAAAGTGATAAAGTACAAGTAGTCCTCAATTTACAACAGTTTGCTTAGTGATTCTTAGAAGTTACAATGGCACTGAAAAAAGTGTCCCCCAAGCCACAGCTGAGCAAGACACCTGCCTGCCCACCCGACGGCACTCTTCCTCCTGTCTGAGGTTTTCATTGTTGTGAGCATTTCTATTGATTGGCAGTGGGGTTGGGGCGGGTGGGTGTTTGGTTTTTATTTCCCCCCCCCCCGTCTGCTGGGTGGTTGCAGCAAGTTTTGGTCAATTCACATGACCCTGGGACACTGACCATCATAAATATGAATCAATTGCCAAGCATCTGAATATAAATCACAAGACCCTGGAGATGCTGCAACATTCCAGCTGATTGGCGCTTCTTCTGGGCTCAGCAGAAGCACCAGGATCAGTGCTGCTTTCCAGCTGATTGGTGTTTCTTCAGGGCTCAGCAGAAGCACCAGGATCAGCGCCAAGCTCCAGCTGGAGCCTGGCGCTGATCCTGGTGCTTCCACTGAGCCCTGACAGCCCCAAAGAAGCGCCGATCAGCTGGAAAGCGGCACTGATCCTGGAGCTTCCACTCAGCCCTGACAGCCCTGCAGCTCCAGCCATCAATCACTCAGGCTTGTGCAGTGCGGTTCAGCTCATTCCCCTCCCCCACTACCACTTTTTTAGGATGGTCGCATACCACCTGCCAGGTACCAATGTACCACAGGTGGTACCCATACTACTGGTTGAAAAGCCGTGCTCTAGAGCATCCACCGCTGTAGAAAAATAGCAGTAATATTTGGTTCCACAGTAGTGATTTATAGCATCTCACAGCATTGTTCAATCACTGCTGTGGAAAAATAATCTTCCTTATTGATAAGTTGCCACAGCCAAGACAGCAGTTGACACTGAAAATGCTATAATGCTACAAACAGTGAATATTAGGCTTTTTATCATTTCAGTGAGATGGATGATGTGAGGAATACTCTATGCAGTGGACAAGGAGGAGTGGGGGGGAGGAGCTCTTTGTTGTGCTTTCATCTAGTCCATGCAGCATCACAAAACCATGATGGGATATTTCTATTCTGCCCTCAGTGATGAATCTCATTCTGCCTCAACAATGAGGGCAGCAAATGGTGCTCTCCTTAGAGACTGAAATGAAACAATCTAAGGAGAGTAATTGATGGATTCTCTTGGTTTCACCTGCCTGAAGAAACAAACAATACTATGTGAGGAATAGAGAAGTTTTCATAGATGGTAGAACAACCATCAAAATATGGCTCTGAGCTAGCTGATCAGTGTGTGTTGGGAAGTTGTTCTGCCTGGTCTAGCAAATAGTGCTCTCCTGTTTTACTGGGCGGACCCAACTAACTCATCTGCAGGAATGGGTGGTCTGCATAGGAGTGTGTTCTCTCTCTCTCTCCCCCCCCCCCCAATGAATGAAGGAGATTAAATAATCAGAGACAGCAGATCAGAGCAAGATCTATGTTTCAAAACAGCCTTCCCTACTTCTCTTGCCAGTTTGAAAAAGAGATAGAAGGTAGGGGAGAAAAGTGTCAAGAAGTCCTGGAAAGCTATGCCTGCAATAGCCTCAAGTGGCCAACAGGTGCTGGGCAGATTGCAATCACTAGCCATGCCCTCCCTAGGCATCCTTGAGGAGATGTTGAAGTTGTTAAAACAGGCACTCTTGTTCTAGGAGAAAATTAAAAACATAACTTTAGCATGAGAACCTCTAAATATGTCTTTAGGCTGCTACTGGAGTGGGCTAGAGTTCCCAAGGCAACCTCATGAGGATGTGCCCTTCAACACAGATTAGTGAGGTACTTTCATACTGTGATTAGTGGACCATGAGGAAGAGCCCAGAATCTGATGGGCAAGTTGTTCTTGCCAATGATCTGAAATGATAACTAGTAAAGAGCCTTTGAAATTAGGGTGAGTGGCTGCACGAAACTAGATCAAAAGTCTTATGATGTTAAAGGCAGCACATTCCTATGATAGAGGTGAAAAGCTTTCAGGAAATTTAACTTTTTCCAGTTCATTCAAAGTGTAGCATAAGCACATCAGAAATCAGGGAAAATATTTTACATAGGACACTATGAAATACACCTTACCCCATGTAAAATGGATGCATTGGTTGAGATTTCAAAATGTTGGTATCTGACTATAACTAGCAATGAAGCTGCTAGAGAACCAGACAGAAAATATTAGCAACAAAGGGTGTATGTGTAGATATAGATATAGGTATAGATATAAAAGATACATATACAGGTAGTCCTCAACTTACAACTATTCATTTAATGACTGTTCGAAGTTGCAACGACACTGAAAAAAGTGACTTGTGACTGTTTTTCATACTTATGACCATTGCAGCATCCCCAAGGTTTTGTGATGAAAATTCAGATACTTGGCAGCTGGCATGTATTGATAACAGTGCAAGAGATTTACTTAATAACTGTAACAAGAGAGGTCCTAAAATGGGGCCAAAGTCACTTAACAACTGTCTTGCTTAGCAATGAAAATTTTGGGTTTAATTATGGTCATAAGTCAAGGACTATATGAATAGGTATGTATAGACGTATAGATATGTAGGGGTAAATGTCTGTGGAGATTCTCAGTCACCCAGGTCATGGTTGTCTCGAAGGTTCTGAGTCAGAACGGATAAAGCTTCCTGGAAGAGAAGTGAAACGTCTTCTTCCTCAGAGAAAAATCATAGTCCAGTTGCCTTTTGAAAAAACACCTTTGAGATATGTAAGAGTAACTTTTTTTTGAAAATGTGCTGGTTGTTTGTATGGCTGAGTTTAACCTTTTAACTTTTCTTTTTTTCAGAGAGGAAATATCATAATATGTACAATCACTACTAGAAAATCAACACCCAACTGATGCAGTGAGGGAAGATAAGCACTACGTTTTTCATCATGTCAGCTCTGTACAATGCCTGCAACAGCAAAAGGAAGAGGGGAAATACAGAAAATGAGACAATAAATTTTGCATATTGAGAGGGGGGATTGTTTATATTATTCTGTTAGAATGTTTGAATTAAATTGAATTGAATTAAAAACTGCCAAATAATCCATATTGACAGCCAAGGCTGGATTGAGTTTTTTCTTTACTAACAGGAGTGATTTGGTGAAGGGTGATTTAGCGCAGAAGTCCCCAACCTTTCTTGGTTGGCAGACTGGAGGGAAAGGGAAGGGGAAGCATTTTACACACAAGCGTGTGCAAATGGGATGGCGCTAGTGCCTACGTGACAATCGCTAGCCCTGTCCCATTTTTGCCGCATGGAGCCCCCTTTTGGCTACACGGAACCCTATTTTCACCACACAGTTTATAATGACAGTGGCCCTCCAGAGTGGCTTTGCCTTTGCTGTCCGAAACGCCTGTGCTGCAGAGGCCAATTTGAAGTTGAGAGGCAAAGCACTGCTGATGATGGAGACAGGCTAAATTCTGTTGTTAAACCAGGGTTTCTCGACCTCAGAAACTTTAAGATGTTCAGCTCTCAGAATTCCCCTGCAGCCACACATCTTTAAACTGCTGAGGTTGAGAAAGTTAAACAATCCCCCTCCCCACCTCCCAAATGGGTAGGGGAAGCAAGAGCCTCTCCAGAGAGAAGGAGGCTCTGAAAACACACAAGACTGTTAGTAGAAGAGGACCCTATTTTCGAATACTTCCCTGCACCTACTCAATCTGTTTCCCACTTCTGGTGAACAAAAGCAGCAAGCTGTGGGAGGCTAAACCCTGTGCTCTATCACAGGTAGGAATTTTGAGTGAAGCTGGTTGCCTCGTTACAATTCTGAAAGCTGTTGTCACAATCTGTGTAATATGTTGGTGGTGATTTCATAGCTGCTAATTATCTAGTAACCATTCAAATATAGTTAGCTGTATATAGGAAAAGATATTTGTCTTAGTTTGTCCCCACACGGCCATAAAGGAATGAGAATCACTTTCCCATCTCAAGCCTCGTAGAGCACGGCTTTTCAACCAGTGGTATGGGTACCACCTGTGGTACATTGGCACCTGGCAAGTGGTACACGACCATCCTAGAAAAGTGGTAGCGGGGGAGGGGAATGAGCTGAACCGGTGGCAGCACTGCACAAGCCTGAGGAGAGATGGCTGGAGCTGCAGGGCTGTCAGGGCTCGGCGGAAGCGCCAGGATCAGTACCGCTTTCCAGATGATCAGCGCTTCTTCGGGGCTGTCAGGGCTCAGTGGAAGCGCCAGGATCAGCTCCAGGCTCCAGCTGGAGCTTGGCGCTGATCCTGGTGCTTCTGCTGAGCCCTGAAGAAGCACCAATCAGTTGGAAAGCGGCACTGATCCTGGTGCTTCTGCTGAGCCCAGAAGAAGCACCGATCAGTTGGAATGTTGCAGCATCTCCAGGGTCTTGTGATTTACATTCAGATGCTTGGCAACTGATTCATATTTATGACGGTCACAGTGTCCTGGGGTCATGTGAAGTGACCAAAACCTGCTGCAACCACCCAGCAGATGGGGGGGGGGGAATAAAAACCAAACACCCCTCCCACCCCACCCCTGCTGCCAATCCTCAACAGAAATGCTCACAACAATGAAAACCTCAGACAGGAGGAAGAGTACCACCAGGTGGGCAGGCAGGTGTCTTGCTCGGCTGTGGCTTGGGGGGCACCTTTCTCAGTGCCATTGTAACTTCGAAGAATCACTAAGCGAACTATTGTAAGTCGAGGACTACCTTTAATTTATCACTTTTTTCCTTTTTTGGGGGGGGTCATCAGGTTTTCGACACCTTGCTAGGTGACTGGTGGTACTCGGATGTTGCCGTATCCTAAAAGTGGTACAATGGGTGAAAAGGTTGAAAAGCCCTGTCGTAGAATACAATATACTGAACTCAACTTGTTAGGGTTAATCACATGGTTATTATTGGAAGGAGAGAAAAGGAAGCTTTATCCATGATCAGGCAGTAAAAGACACAGCCGTGACTTTGCCAAAGTCATTATTCACCCATTTCCTCAGCAATGGTAATGTTTGTGTATAGCAGCTGGCAGTGTGGGTGATGTGACATCTCCTTTCCCTTATGGAGCCAGGCGTCTGCTTTCTGCCCCCAAGCCAGGGATGGGCAGCACAGTGGCAGCTGCTCCCACGAGTAGGCCACAGACCATAAGCGACCCCCAGGCAACCAATAAGGGAACAGCAGTTAGGAAGGCAAAGCTGCTTTGTGGCTACTTTTGCCTTTTCTCTGTTTCTGCTGCCTTCTGAGTTTTGAACGATCCACCAGCTCAGTTGAATGCAAGGTATGATACTGTTGTCCTGCCTCGAACATCAAAGGATCTCTTGGATAGTGCAGTCCATAAATAATTCTTTGAAAGAAGATTCCTACTCCGCCAAACAAAATATCTAGTGACCATTTCCTAATGTCCTTTTGAAAAGTAAAATCATAATGCTGGTAGCATAAGGAGGCAAACTGATTAATTAAAATTATTCCTACTGGGGTTTAGACCAGATTTAGAGAAAGAGACTGCCTTAGGAAGCACCTAATTGAATAAATAGGCTGGAAGGGACCTTAGGCTTATATCTGGTCTGATCCTGGTCCAGTACAAAACATCCTGTATTACACCATCATTGCCAAATTGCTAACTACCCTTTCAGTGTCAGAAAGTCCACCAGCTTCCAAGGAGTCTATTCCATGGCTGAACTGCTCTATTAGGAAATTTTTCTTGATGCCGAGGCAAAATCAGTTTCTTCATAATTTAGACCGGTTGTTTCTTGTCTTCTGAAACAAAACTCAACAGTTCTTCCGTCTTCTGAATAACAACCTTCAGATACCTGAAAATAACAATTATGTCTCTTCACAGTCTTCCCCCCCCCCTTTTTTGTTCCTGAGTAAGCATGCAGGGGTGGTAATTGGCCCAAATTCTTTATAGTACTTGCATCTGTTCTTTGTTCTTAAAGCTTTTCAGAAGGGGGGTTAGAGATAACAAATGGTATTTAGGTAGCTTTGCTTTGGAGGATCTTGCTCTGCCTCCCATAAGGTAGCCTCTACCACCTGACTCATTTTATTGATTTTTGTCCCCAAATCCACACCCACATGTGCATATGTTCTCCTCCTCCTATTTCATCAGCCCCCTAACAACCGTGACATAGGGAGAGATGGCCGTGTTCACAAGAAACACTGAACTAGAAACTGCACTGCAACCATATTGGAGCCTACAATATTATGTAACCCAAACTTATGTAACGCTAGCAGTGTGTTGAGAAAACTCAGAAGATTGGAGTAAATTACAAATAACTATAGTGAACAAACTCAGACACTAACCAGATCAAAGTCACCCAGAGATTTTCCATTACTGAGGGTGGGCTAGAATCTATTCTCCCAGTCCCCTCTATTATTATTGTTGTCGATACAATTTATATTCTGTCTTTGCTCTAGGAGCTGACAGAGGCACACCTAGCATTGTCTCATCTACAACCTTCTGAGGTAGAATGGTCTGGCCCAACATCTTACAGCAGAGACCCAGGGAGATGGGTGGTAAAGAAATATGAAATATAAATATAAATAAAAAATAAAATTTACATGGTTCGCTCAGGGCTCAAACATGGCTCTCCCTAGACCAACATCTCAAATCACTACCACCCTCAGAACTTTACAGTGCTGAATTCCGCAATTATTACCTGCTTACCTGGAAGCAAAAGTGGGGTAAATACAGGTATAAATTTTGCTGTTAAAAACGAACCCTATCGAAAGCACTGCTTACGAAAGGCAAAGAAGCAGGAGTATTGCCTACACTGGCATGATTGAACTAACGCACTTGGGAGCTTCTCTGTGAAAAAGGCACGGGATTTGTCTTTTTATTATTATTATTATTTTTCTGCCCAACCGAAGATGGCAAACCTCGGGCACGGCGGGGGCGGAGAGGTCCGGGTGAAGGGCGAGTTCCGCTCCCGCGCTAGAGCCACCCATTCGGGGGCTGAGGGACGCCGGCAACAGGGAAGCAGTGCACGAAGCGGCGGCAGCGGCGGCAGAAGCAGCTCACTTCCTGGGCACTGTAGTTCGACCGGTGCATCCCCCGCGTTCCGCCAGGGAAGGCAGGAAGGTGGGCAGCGCTTCACCTGGCCGGCTCTCTTCCTTCCTTTCTAGACGGGTCGAGGACTCCTCCGCACGTGCTGTCCCGGGCTGGATGCACAGCTGTCGAACCCCGAGATCGGCGCCCTCGGGGGCCCCGTCTTTTTTCCCAAGTTGCGTCCAGGGAGCTCGGCGTTATCATTCCAGCGTCCGGAGAAGCCCGACCTCGCTTCGCCAGCCAGACTAGAAGATCCACTGGCCACGCCTCGATCCAATACGGAGGGCCCTCTGAAATGAGCCAGGTGGCCAGGAAGGGCGTGGGAAGCCCCGGGCGCGGCGAGCGGCCGGCCGCGGCTGAAAGGCAGCGAGGCAGCGAATAAACAGAGGGCGCCAGGCCCCGGGCTCGCCAAACTCGCCTCGGTCGGTCTCCTTTCGGCGGAGATGAGCGGCTGGGCAGGGCTGGCCGGGCTCCTCCTGGCCGTGGCCGGAGCTCAGAAACAGTTGCCGCAGCCGCCCCGGGCGCCGCCGAGTAGCTTTCGCCCGGTCGCCGCAGAACATGCCGCTCCGTTCGACCACGTCTTCAACGGGATGGTCAACCGAAGCACGGAGCGGCTCTACTCCTTCAACTACACCAGTAAGGTGGGCCAGGTAAGGATGCCCTCGCCTGGTCTCCCGCAGCCCGGGCAGGTGATCCGGGGCAGGTGCGCGAGAGCTGCGCCCTGGCCGAGCTCGCGGCGAGAGCCCTCGAAGGCGGCGCAGCTCGGAGTGGGGCGGGGGGGGGGGATTCGGGGGAGAGGGAGAGCTGGGGAGGGCCGGGTGGCGAGTTCCCGTTGCGAGGCAGGAGGAGACCTTCGGGGGACAAATGCTGAAGGCCTGCGGCAGGGCTTAGATGACGGGGAAGGTAGGCGAGGGGCAAGGCCCACGGATTCTGAATTGAAAACTGGTCGGGTTATTCATTTATTATCGCTTTCAAGCCCCTCTCCCGTTTTGGCACTTTCCTGGGAGCTAGCTATTTTTCTGAACTTGTTTTTTTATGTGAATATTTCTGCAAATAAAACTCCCATTTAAACAAACTTCAGATTTCCCTGTTCTTTCTGAGTCATGCCAAATGCTTCCATTGCTTCCTTGAGATAATGTCAGAGCGCATGTTATCATGGAATTACATAACAGTTAACCCCATATTGGTAATTAGAGGTTATTATTACATCCATCACACTGTTTTTTTTGGGGGGGGGGAGAATAAGCAATGTGCAATAAAAGAAAAGGTGTTAATAGATTAAAGAGATGCTCATTCATTCTCTGTATGTGACTAAATCATCTAAATGTATTTCTTTTATTTGGGTAGTGTTAGACTTCAGGGTTTATATTAGCGTGTGTATGTGTGTGCGCGCGCGCACACCTGTTTGTACATGTACACAGATATGTATGTTTGTAAACATATGTAAATCCTGAAGTCTAACACTGCCCAAATGAAAAAAATATATATTATTTCATTCATATTCTCTAAGTATATTAAGTTATTTCTTTCGCACCTATCACTCACTTTTGCATTCAGTCCAGTTTGTTCATTCTTGACTATTTCTATTTTACCATATACCCATTGACTATGCTAAAGCCTTTGATTGTGTGGATCACAACAAATTGTGGCAAGTTCTTAAAGAGATGGGAGTACCAGACCATCTTATTTGTCTCTTGAGACACCTATATGCGGGTCAAGAAGCAACAGTGAGAACTGGACACGGAACCACTGATTGGTTCAAAATTTGGAAAGAAGTCCAGCAAGGCTGTATTCTGTCGCCCTGCCTATTTAAGTTATATGCAGAGCACATCATGAGAAAGGCAGGGCTAGATGAATCAAAAGTTGTAATTAAGATTGCCGGGAGAAACCTAAGATATGCAGATGATACCACTCTAATGGCAGAAAGTGAAGAAGAACTAGAGCAGGGCTTTTCAACCTTTTCACCCATTGTACCACTTTTAGGATATGGCAACATCCAAATACCACCAGTGACCCAGCAAGGTGTCAAAAACTTGATGACCCCCCCAAAAAAGGAAAAAAGTGATAAAGTACAGGTGGTCCTCGATTTACAACTTAGTGACTGTTCGAAATTACAATGGCACTGAAAAAAGTGCCCCCCAAGCCATTGCCGAGCAAGACACCTGCCTGCCCGCCCGGTGGCGCTCTTCCTCCTGTCCGAGATTTTCATTATTCCCCCCCATCTGCTAGGTGATTGCAGCAGGTTTTGGTCACTTCACATGACCCCGGGACACTGTGACCGTCATAAATATGAATCAGTTGCCAAGCATCTGAATGTAAATCACAAGACCCTGGAGAGGCTGCAATATTCCAGCTGATCGGCGCTTCTTCTGGGCTCATCAGAAGCGCCAGGATCAGTGCTGTTTTCCAGCTGGAGCCTGGCGCTGATCCTGGCGCTTCCGCTGAGCCCTGGCAATCCTGCAGCTCCAGCCATCTCTCGCTCAGGCTTGTGCGGTGCTGCCACTAGTTCAGCTCATTCCCTTCCCCCGCTACTTTTCTAGGATGGTGGTGTACCACCTGCCTGGTGCCAATGTACCACAGGTGGTACCCATACCACTGGTTGAAAAGCCCTGAACTAGAGCCTCTTGATGTGGGTGAAGAAGGAGAATGCAAAAGTTGGCTTGAAACTCAACATTAAGAAAACATCCGGCCCTCTCAATTCCTGGCAAATAGATGGGGAAGAAATGGAGGTAGTGACAGATTTTATCTTCCTGGGCTCCAAGATCACCACAGATGGGGACTGCAGCCAAGAAATTAAAAGACGCTTGCTCCTGGGGAGGAAAGCTATGGAAAATCTAGATAGCTTACTAAAAAGTAGAGACATCACCCTGCCAACAAAAGTGCGTATAGTCAAGGAAGGCCATGGTTTTCCCAGTTGCAATGTATGGCTGTGAAAGTTGGACCATAAGAAAGGCTGAGTGCAAAAAAATTGAGGCTTTTGAACTATGGTGCTGGAGAAGACTCCTGCGAGTCCCCTGGACTGCAAGGTGATGAAACCGGTCAGTCCTAGAGAAGATCAACCCTGACTGCTCTTTAGAAGGCCAGATCCTGAAATTGAAACTCAAGTACTTTGGCCACCTAATGAGAAGGAAGGATTCACTGGAGAAGAGCCTAATGCTGGGAAAGATTGAGGGCAATAGAAGAAGGGGACGACAGAAAATGAGGTGGCTGGATGGAGTCACTGAAGCAGTAGGCGTGAGTTTAAATGGACTCCAGAAGATGGTAGAGGACAGGAAGGCCTGGAGCAACATTGTCGATGGGGTCGCGATGGGTCGGACACGATTTCACAACTAACAACAAATAAAATAACCCATTTCCTTTGCACTCAATAGTTTCTCCTGATATACCCACCTCTCAGTTCTATATAAGAAAGAGGGCAAAATATACATTATGTTTGCTTATTTTGATGCACATTCAATCTTTACAATAATCTCCATATTACCCACTCTCTTTTTATCAGCAAAGAAAATATACAACTACCTGGAAATGTGAAAAGAACAAATCCTTCTCTGAACTAAAAAATAAAAATAACGAAGCAAAACATGTAAATATTTATCTTGCCAACCTTATAGACAAGTTAATGTATGTATATGTACAAATTTAATAATTTTTCATTCCCTATAAGATTATTCCAAATTGCTTGAATGTTATTCAAAATTACTTTTGAAAATTGTTAAAGTTATTGATTCAGTTTCCATAAACACCAGAGGCCACCCCACCAATTTCAAAACCTCTGGTGTTTCTAAGGCTGCAAGTAATGTAATGCCAAACCATATACATAGCAAGTATTTTATCTGTATGTGTTGCCATTCAACCTTTCTAGGTAAATTATATTCTTTACATAGATTTTGAAAAGTTTTAAAAGTATCCTTATTTAATAACCATTAGAGAGTAAAGCTTCCATTATGACCCTGTGTTTTCTAGAAATGCGAACAACTCCAAAATGTGGTAAGGAATCTGACCTCCCTTTGTTCCTTTAAAATAGTGGCAGAAATCACATTTCTTGCTTCCTTCTGTATTTGAGATGGACAGCAATTGTTCTAGAACAGGATTTTTAAATGCTAGACTTCTTTTCTGAGATAGCTGATTCTGAGCAGAGGACAGGAATTCTAAAGTGAATCATGAATCACATCATGCTTACTGGCTAAGATACCTTTACTGGTAAAATGGTTACCATCCCTTACACACAAGTGAATCCTTAATTTGAACAGACCAAGCAGGGTAATGGTGTGTCCATTATTCCCATGTCTCAATTTAGTATTATGTCCTCCTGGTGACATTAAAGCATTTGCATAAACATTTGCTGTGAACTATATGTGGGCTAATGGCAGCTTCTCTAAGCCCCACTCCCTCAGTGAAAAGGATAGCCTCCTGGAAGGAGACCCCCTCCTCTTTTGAAGGAGATGCACTGAGTGTCAGGCTACACTTGAGCAAAATGTCTATGGTGAGGTATGCTGCCTATACAAGTAGTCTTCAACTTTTGACCATATTTGAGCCCAAACTTTAAGTTGCTTAGTGAGATAGTTCAGTGAGTTTTGCCCCATTTTACAATCTTTCTTGCCACCGTTTTAAGTGAATCACTGCAGTTGTTAAGTTAGTAACATGGTTGTTAAGTGAATCTGACTTCCCCATTGACTTTGCATGTCAGAAGCTCGCAAAAGCTGATCACATGACCCCGGGACACTGTCACCATCATAAATATGAATCAGTTGCCAAGCATATGAATTCTGATCACATGACCATAGGGATGCCACAACAGTCATAAATGTGAAAAACAGTCATACATCACTTTCAGTGACATTGTAACTTTGAATGGTCACTAAACGAACTGTTGTAAGTCAAGGACTACCTGTACTCACTGAGGAGCTATGTCTTTGGGGGAGTATCTTCCATCTCACATAGAACCATAGAACCTTGGGGCTAGAAGGGATCTTGGAGGTCTTCTAGTCCAACCTCCACCCCAAGGCAGGAGTCCTTCATTCCAAACAAATGGCCTTCCAATCTTGTCTTGAAAACTTTCAGTGACAGAACACTCACAATTGCAGGGGAAAGCTGTTCCATTCATTAATTGTTCTCACTTTCAGGAAATTTCTCATTAGTTCCAAATTAGATATCTCTTTAATGTGTTTCCACTGATTGTTTCTTGTCCTGCCTTCTGGTGGTTTAGAGAACAAGTCTATCCCCTGTGACAGCCCCTCAGGTACCAGAAGACAGCTATCATGTCACCCCTAATTCTTCTCTCCTTTAAGCTAGCCATACCTGTTCTGTTTCAGAAAAAGAGGCATTGAGACAAAGCAATGAGTTCCAACAGTCTCCTTTATTGCAATACCAACAGAACAGGTTTTAAAATGGTGCGGCCCCCTTGCTGGCCAATCATTGCAAAGGCTGGAAGCAGCCTTTCTTGTCCCAGGCAGCACAATACCTTGCTGGCCAATCATTGCAAAGGCTGGAAACAGCCTTTCTTGTCCCGGGCATCCACATGGTCTGCCCGGGCCAATCGCTGCAGCCTGTGCCTGCCGACCCAGGACATAACACCGCCTACTTCCCTTCACTGTTCATTATCTCATTTTTCAGGGTTTCCCAGGTATCTGGAATTGTTTTTCCTTTTAGGATTTCCATCCATGAAATCCTTTCTAATCTTTCTCTTAGTTTGTTAAAGTCAGCTCTCTTAAAGTCTAAAACAGTAGTCTTTGTTCAGTCACTTTTTCGTGCACTATAGTGAATTGTAATATGACATGGTCACTTTCCCCCAAGGTTCCTACAATTTCCATTCCTTCAACCATCTCATCCCTATTAGGATTAAATCCAGTGTAGCTGATCTTCTAGTTCCCTCCTACACTATTTGGGTGACAAAGTTGTCCACTAGGCACATCAGAAATCTGTTAGATATCCCATTCACTGCAGAATTTGTTTGCCAGTTGATTTCAGGGAAGTTACTACTACATGCCTTTCCTGCACACCTTGGCTAATTGATTAGCAAAAAGTTTGTCTATTTCCTCTGCTTGGTTAAATGGCCTATAGTACATACCCAGTGGTGGGATTCAGCCAGTTCGCACCACTTTGGCAGAACTGGTAGCTTATTTTTTGTTGCCCAGGCCTAGAATGGACTTCCGGAAGCAGCATCCAGACACAGAATCGGTTGTTCACATATTTGAATCCCACCACTATACACACATATAACAATGTCATTTCTTTTTCATCTAATATTCACCCAAATATCTTTAAGAAGGCTTTTATCCCTAGTATTGTGTATTTCTATAGAGGCGTAGTAATTTTTTACATACAAAGGAACTCCTCCCCCTCTTTTTTAATTGGTTCTGTTTCTTTTGAACAATGTATAGCCTTTTAGCTTTATGTTCAAATCACGGGTTTCATCCCACCAAGTTTACAACAATATTGTACCTGCCCTCATGTATTAGGACTTCATGTTATCTCTGTCTGACCATGTGTAATGTCTTCATAAGTCTGCATCCTCTCTTTGTGGGCCGCATCCTAGTTTACTCCCATCAGAAAAGGATTAAAGTGGAAATACCATCGGGGTTACTCTGAACAGAATAGGCTAAAGTAGGCATTGACTGATGGAAGTATCCCTGCTGTCTCTGTCTCTATGCAGGTGGACGCCCTCCGTGTTACTGTGAAGAGTGACTCCGAAGATGATCAGTACCCTGTCTTGTTTGTAGTTCGGCAACAAAAGGGGGTGCTGTCCTGGCAGCTCCCTCTCATTTTTCATGGGCTGTAAGTAATCATTTCCTATGATAAGATATTTATCTTTATCCTATTTAGTTTTTCTCATTCCAACTTCTTCGCTCAAATTCCTTCTAAAAGATTTCTTAAAAGAGAGTTTTTTACTCTTTCCCTGCTAGAGAAGAAGCTTCCTTCATTTTTATTTTTATTTTTGCAACATTGCATTTTACTTTGTGGCACATTTATTTTTTATTGTACAGAGAATTTACACTGAATTAAAGTGTAGAGATAAGGACAGATGGTAAATTTAAAAAATAATTCAGTATTGCTGGTTAAATCTCTTCTTTAATATTTAATTGAATCCTAATAGCTATTCAAAGTAAATAGTAATTTCCTATCAAATAACTTTTTTTTTACAGTATTGGTTTTCATATAATTTTGTGCATTACCTTAAGCTATTTTTTGTTTTTGGAGTTTTGTAAAATAGACATGCACATCTCAAAATGGCTGGAAATATATATTTATTATGAATTAACCTCTTTTATGTTACATTTATTTCTTAAATTTATACATTAAAACTGGCTTGTAATAAACTGCAGATATAATATGATAGGAACAATGGGAGTAATGAAACAGATGGGAGCACAATATAATTGTTTCAGCAGAGTCAAGATAAGATGTCCGGCCCCACTCAGTAATTAACAAACGCTTCTGAATAAGCTAGTTTTCAGATTAACATCCTGTGATAACCCAGTTTGGAGGTTAGCAGAACATTAATTCTTGGGGTTTCCATGCCAAACATAGAAATATGACCTTCTCAATATAGAATACCCAATTTTTCCAACATTTTATATTTGATCTGTCAGGGTAATTTCGTTCTTGTCAAAAATGTCACCTCTAGAGCAAAGAAACCTCTACCTAGCAGTTTCCATTTAATAATCTTCTACAACTGCTTTTATATTTCTACTCTTCACTTTGGAAATAAAAGAAATGGGTGTCAGTGGTTAGTACTTAATTCAAAATAATTTCAGGAGCTATTGGAGAACAAAATGAAAGCCTTTATTGCAGATTGATATAAAGAAATAGGAATCTGTTTTAACTTTCTGGAATTAGCTTTCTATGTTCAAACTGAAGCCCTGCAGGTCTCCAATCATGAGATCTAGCAAAATAATATTGTGTTTTATTATGCCAATACCTGATGAAATCCAGGAGAATAAACAGAGATCCTTACTTCTGTTGGAAATCATTCCTCAGAAAAACAGTTGTCAGGCCTGAGGCTTAAAACCTGGATTTCATTTCAGGCTTTTTAAATTCAATACCCTTTTTAATGGTGAAAATTTTAAAGAGCTACAGGAAAAAAAACAGGTAATAATTATAAAATGAAGAATGGAATGGAATGGAATGGAATAGAATAGAATAGAATAGAATAGAATAGAATAGAATAGAATAGAATAGAATAGAGCTGAAAGGGACCTTGGAGGTCTTCTAGTCCAGCCCACTGCTCAAGCAGGAGATATATTATAGGATTAAAATAAATCCATTTTAAAACATTCTTTGAAAGTTCAATAAATATGAAATAATATTTTTTCATGCATTAATTTCATTTTTTCATGTTTCTAAACACCTGGATTCTCCAAAATTAGCTTATTCCAATTCATCCTTCCAAATTCAGTTACATGACTAATTTCACTTTTTAATCCCTTGTAATGTTGAGTTGTTGATGTCTTTCAAGCATTGCATCTTTTAAGGAACTTAAAACTATTTCAAAGGCTGCTAGGGCATCTGGGCCATACTGTTTGATTAATACCTGTTTCAGTTATATATATTGCCAAACAAATACTATAGATAAATTATACTCAACACATAAACTCTCAAAATCTTTTAAATAGCCATTTGAAATTAACTGAGTTAAAGTGTTGATCCAAACATTCTAATAAATCATCTTGTAACTGCTTAGGAATCAAATATGTCTAGCAGGAATTTTCATACCTGGAAACAAAGATTCCTGTCCAGCAAAGCATGTCAGAATTTGCAGGGTGTTAAATCTTTACTCTTCATATTGGCTGAAGAGAGGAAGATTCATCAAAACTCATCAAAAGTCTTGTGCAATAGTGATTTGTTTAGTGACTTTCTGGCTAACTAGCCTTGAAAAGGGAGAGTAGAGTCAGACATTGTTAAGTGCCTGGATTGGCGACCATCAGAAAATCCCAGAGCTGTAGTCTAAAAACTGCGAAGTCAAAAGCACCTTAGAAAAAAAACAAGAGGACACCATTCTATATTATTTGTCAACAAAACTGCAGGGATATGTCCATAAAGTCACCAGAAGTTGAACTCAACTTGGAAGACTTTACTCATTAACTTGCATTTGCTTTTTTTGGCCAAATTCAAGTACAGGACATGGATCAGAGGCTGACTGGTGCTGGACAGATTTCAAAGAGAAAAGGTCACCAGCAATTAGGAATTGATGTGGAAAAATCAATAGGCAGATAATGTGATATAAACAGGATTAGCGGAGGTAGATAACAGAAGCTAGGATGATGTGACAAAAGGCATGTCAGGTGTATGCTATGGAAATTGCTTCGGTTAAAAAGGTAAGTTGGATGTCAACAATGTGTGCTGATTATATTCAGGGTAGTACTAAAGGCCAAGAGTTACTCTTTACCCACAATGCTGGAACTGCTCAATGCCTGAAAGAACTTGTGACGCCACTTATTGACTCTGTGATATGTTCCAGACACAGTAACAGTAATTTAGTATATAGCTAAATGTCTATGGCAGGGATGTCAAACTCAATTTCATTGAGGGCCGCATCAGCATTGTAGTTGCCCTCGGGGGGAGGTGGCTAGCATGGGTGTGGCCTACTGAGTGGGCATGGCTAGCTCAACATCGCTTGCGTCAGGGGCATCTGTGCAGGTTTGGGCAGGTCTGGGGCAGATCCAAGGGTCTCCAGCGGAGGAGGGTGGGACAGGGGCGAGCGCTGGAACACAGTCCACTGAAGGAGCCTCACCGTCCCTCTCAGGCCATATGGGGAGGGCCCGGACAGTGGCCCGGGCTGCCCAGAGCTCTGGGCAGCAGAGGTCAAGCGCCCAGCTCTCAAGCTCAGGGACCCGCAGCCCAGCCTAGCCTAGCCCCACTTCTCCAAGGGGGCGCCCAGCTGCGCTTACCTCCAGCTCGAGGCTGCTGCTGCTGTGCTCTCTCTCCTTGGCCAAGTTGCTTATGGTGTTGTGGGAGGGCAAAATGTGTGGGTCAGAGGGAGGCCCATTCCCTCTCCATGTGAGGAGACCCTGCTTTGTAACCAAAGCACCCTCAGCGATAAGATGGGAGACCACCAGGAGAAGTCAGGAGGAGGGGACAAGGGGATGGCAAAAGGGCCTCAGGGTTGCTCGGGGCCAAGTGCTAAGGCAGGACTTCCCTCAGACCCTTCCTCTCATTATAGTCTACCTTCCTTCCTTTTTTCCCTCCCTCTCTCCCACCCTCCCTTCCTTCCTCCGTTCCTCCCTCCCTCCATTCCTCTCTTCCTTTTTCCCTCTCCCTCTTCATTCCTCTCTTCCTTCCTTCCTTCGTTTCTTCTTCCTCTGTTCCTTCCTCCCTCCTCCCTTCCTCCCTCCTCCCTTCCTCCCTCCCACCCTCCCTCCCTCCCTCCGTTAGTTCCTTCACCTTGTCTCTTTCCTTCCTCTGTGCTTAGGAAGGGGTGATGGGAGGGGGAGAAATTGCCAGTGCTGCCATGTTGCCACTGGTCTTGCTATCCCACGTGAGTGGGCGGGGGCTATCCCAATGAAAGGAAAGCCTCATGGCTGCAAGGCTGGAGGTGCTGGTGGGAGAGGTGGTGGTGCTGATCTACAACCTGGTTGCATCCATCAAAGCCAGAATGCGCTCAGCCTTAGATCCACGGGGCAGCCTTGCCCTGCCTCCTGGGCGGGCGCGCAAATGGAGTCTGGCATCCCTGCTGGCTGTTTTGCCCCGCAGGCTGACTTCACCCAGGATGCCAGCTCTGGCTGTCTCCTGTGCACAGGACCTTGCTGGTTCCAGGGCTGCTCCCCTGCCCCACCCCCCAGCTTTGAAGAAGAAGCTTCCTGGATAAGAAGCGAAACATCTTCAAAGAAAAACAAGAAAGTCCAGAAAAAGCACCTTTGGGATATTTAAGTATATATTTTTCTCCAAAGCATTATACTCAACCATGTGAGTTTTTTTAAACATAAGTTTTATTTGAATGTCAGATTTTGCTTTGTGTTGGCAGTTACCAAAGAAGTTACAACTACACAGAAGTCAGCCGTACCCTCTGCCCTTCCGAGTCTGTACCTGAGAATAGATCTTCCGAGCAAATCATATTTATAAATGTAGCTTCCATGGCTCCCTATAACGCCCACTATCAGCTGCAAGTTACCAAGATTAAGAACTTCCAGCTTAGGTGAGTGATCAGTTTCTGGAATTACCATTTTCAAAAAATGGAAAACTAAAGTTTTGTGGTTGTTATTATTGTCAGAATCAGCACTGGTTGAAAAATTAACACAACAAACCCACTTTTAAGCAACCTTTAGGTAAGGATTGTTCTACTCATATTTGATTACCATGTTTAACTAGACTGATTTATTTATTAATCAAATTCACAAGGATGCCTATCTCATAGAAAGTGACTTTATAAATATATAACACAATAATTCTCAATGGATTATTCCTATAAATAAATATGTTTTGGGATATAAATATTAAATATCAATATTTAAAGTGTTCTTTTTCCTTAAGATTATAAAGAATTTTTATATATCCCCCAACTGTTTATATATCATTTTGTTTTCGTTCTTAATGCTGTTATTTTCAGTATTTGTTCATCTATTTAAATAGAAAAAAAACCAATATATTTTAAAAATTCCCATAGACAACATGGGAGGCCACAGTTAAAAAACACACACTTTTTATTGATCACAAACAGCTTGAGCTGTTTGGACTGCCTGCATGGAGATATGCAAGCTGTAGGCCTACGTCCCACTGATGCTGCAGACTGAAGTGGGGGGTAAAATGCCAAACTGAGGACCCCGCAATATGACAGGAATAACGCAAAGAACAAGAAGAGAAATAGACACAGCCAAACCCTCTGAAAAAACAGTAGCAATAGATTATCACTCTAGGCCGTAAGCTATATTATAAGCAGCAAAGGCTTCTGCCAAAAAACTTTTTTAGCCTTCTATTAAATATGCTGCATATCCCCATTTTTGCATGCCAAGTCAATTGATATGCAAAGCTGACCAGAAACAGAGCAAAGAAAGCTACATAGTGTTAACATATGGCATGAAAGCTAAAAATGTTTAACCTGAGTCTCAGCAGCTTGCTGGCTACATCACACAACTTTCCCTGTCCATCTGCATCCACCCAATGCTATTTTTGCTGCCCATTCCTTCAGTTTTGGATTCTCTTGCCTGCTGGTCCATGGGCTCCCCTCACCTTTTAGCCTCATTTAATTCTGGGCGCTAATTTGCACGCATCCAATTCTCGGCACCATTCTTAAGAAGAATTTGGAGGGATTGGAGCAAGTTTAGAGAAGGACAAATGAGGATTATCAGGTAATTAGAAAGTAATTACACAGTTGCTCTTATGAAGACGGAATGAAGGAGTTAGAAAAGTTCAAGATTGAGAAGAGATGATTGAGAGAGTTTGAATACAATAGCAGTTATCAAATACCTGAATGCAGTTGCAGAAGGGGACAACTACTATTAGCATAGTAATGAAGTCTGCAATTATTTGCATTTCTCGGAGCACCGGGGAACTATATGAGGATTGGAAAACAGCTGATGTAGTTCCCATCTTCAAAAAAGGGGAAAAAAAAACAGAGCCAGGAAATTACAGACCAATCAGCCAGACATCAAAACCTGGAAAGAACTCGGAAAAGATAAACAAGCAACAAATCGCCAAACACCTAGAAGCAAACAAAGTTATAATCAGAAATCAATATGGGTTTGTCAAAAACAGATCATGTCAAACAAATCTTATTTCATTCTTTGACAAAGTAACTAAAAGTGGATCAGTGAAATGCTGTGGACATAGTATACTTAGATTTCATTAAAGCATATGATAAAGTAGACCACAACTTACTTGTTGGCAAGCTAGAAAAATGTGGGATAGAAAGCATCACCATGAGATGGGTTTGTACCTGGCTGACAAATTGTACTCAGTGTGTAGTCCTCAATGGAATTACATCTACATGGAGGAAAATAAGCAGTGGGATACCTCTAGGTTCTGTTTTGGGCCCAATACTCTTCAACATTTTCACAAATGAACTAGAATAGAACGGGAATTCACCAAATTTGCAGAGGATACTAAGCTGGCAGGAATAGGAAACACCTCAGAAGACAAGCTCAAGATCCAAAAAGATCTTGACAGACTTGAACACTTGGCTCTATTTAATAAAATGAAATTTAATGTAGATAAAAGTAAGGTTTTACACTTAGGCAAGAAAAACCAGTTGTATAGATACAAGATAGGTGAAATTTGGTTTATGCCAGTAACTATGAGAGGGATCTTTGAGTCTTAATGGACAATCACTTAAATATGTGTGTGGTAGCAGCAAAAAAAGCCAATGAAATCCTAGGCTGCATTAATAGAGGGATAGAATCAAGGTCACGTGAAGTTCTAGTACTGCTTTATAAAGCCTTAGTAAGACCACACTTGGAATACTGTATCCAGTTCTGGTCATCGCAATATAAAAAAGATGTTGAACTTCCGGTGGATTTGCGCTGGCGATGGCGGCTACTTTGTAGCCGTCCTCCTGAGAAAGTGTTAGAACCGCTAAGAACAGCAGGCATCAGCTGTTCTGCGGTTCAAAACCTCCTTCCCAGGCAAAGGGAGGGAGGGGAGTATCATCTGAATAGTGGTAGAGCCTCTGAAACCCCCCAAGGAATTTTTTGGGGGGGTGAAAAGAGTGCTCCCACGGAGTTCAGATTGTCTCCGCTTCTCAGCTGTCTTTGTCTCCAGGGACAAAGCAAGACGCCGCTCCCACCTCCACGATTATAGAGATCTGGTGAGTTATTTTAAAAGCGGACAGAGCTGAATAAAGGATTTTATTTTTCTTGATTTTATTTGGACTTTTAGTTTAAAGATTTATTTTTATTCCCTTTTTTTTTCTTTTGCTGAAAGGGAAAGTAAAATGGTGATCGGCAGGGTTTTTTTTTTTTTAAGTGACCGGAATGGAACGGAACGGATTTGATTACTTATAATGATTTTTTGAAAGTGGATTTGGGTTTTAAGAGGATTATTTTCCCTCTTTGTTTAACCTTTTTTTTTTACTTTTTTAAGGGATTTTTTTTTGTATCTTTTGTATTTTTTTCTTAAGAAGGAGGAAAGGAGAAATAAATTTTTGAAAATGGCCTCAAAGTGTCAAGCAACTTCTACAGTACCGAAGGCGGCTTCTTCTCCTGCGATACTACCAGCACAACAACCTAAACTTATACCACCATCTTCTCCCCCTCTGCAACCAATAACGGTAAAAGATATCCAAGATATAATGGGAAATGCTATATCTCAAATCAGAGGTGAAATGAAAGAGCTTTTAGTGGAGAATAATAGCATTTTGAGGCAAGATATAGTTTTGGCTTTAAAAGGACTTACTTCTGTGGTTGAAAAACTGGATTCTCGAGTTGAAGAAGTTGCAGACAAGGTGGAGGGTTTGGAAGAAAAGTTTGAAGGAATGGAAAAAAAGGTGGAAATTTCACAAGATGAAATTGTTATGTCCCAATATAGAGAGATGGAGTTTGCTTTAAGAATCGGGCTTGAGAGAGGATATGCAACAAGACCTGAGAGATGGTAGTGAATGATTTTGCTGTGATCTTGGACAGAGAAAAAGAGGAAATATCTAGAGAAATTGAAAAAATATTTAGAGTTAATTCCTGGGTTGCAAAGCAAAGAAACCTGCCAAGAGATGTGGTAATTTACTTTGGGAAAAGATCTCTGCGCAATGAGATCATACAAGCTTTTTATAACAAGAGGTTTCAGATTGCTGCACAAGATGTTATAATTTTAAAGGAGATCCCATCTAAAATTTTAAGAAGAAGAAAAGAGTTTGCTTTTCTGGCAGACGAACTTAAAAAAAGGCAAATGCCATTCAGATGGGATATTCCAATTGGAATAGTGGTGAGCTTTGCGGGGACACGTTATAGACTTAATACTGTTTTTAAAGCAAAGGAGTTTTATACTTCGGTCCTGGGAGCACGCTCATCACCACCTATAATTTTTAAAGTCTTGGACGGGAAGGAGGTTGAGCAGCAGTCTGAAGAAGCTGTGTTGATGAAAGCTGGAAAATCACAGGCTGAGTGGTTTCAACAAGCTGAGACGAAAGAGCAAAGAATGACTCGGGCAGCGCATAGACGTAAGGAAAAGGAACAACAGAAGAAAGATGTCAAAGAAGTTTTACAAGAATCTGCTTCTGAGCCTGTGGGAGGAGGTACAATCTTCAATGGCAGATCTTCAAGCAGTCTTCTCCAGGCTTTCGGATGAGGGAGATGGTAAAGCTCCTGTCATGGAATGCTAATGGCCTTAATTCCCCTCAAAAGAGAAAGAAAATATTTCACTATTTGAAGCAGCATAACAATGACATTATTTGTTTGCAGGAAACGCATATTATCTCTAAGGATCAAAAATATTTAGTTAATGCTCGATTGGGATCTCATTTTGTATCTTCTGCTCTTGGGAAGAAAGGGGGTATAGTTATTTATGTTAAGCAAAATTTATCAGCTTGTTTAGTAGATTCTGATCCTCAAGGGAGATATGTTATGATTGAAGTGGGACTGTATGGTAAGAAAATACTTATAGTAGGTTTGTATGCACCAAATCAACAACAGGAACAATTTTATAGGTTGTTGCATCAAAAATTGATTTTATTGGATTACAGATCTGTTATATTGATGAGAGATTGGAATGGAGTTTTAGACACATGTAGAGACAAAAAAGGACTTTTTACTTCTTTTAAACAGGCTAAATTACCTAAGGCTTTTTTTGATTTGAAAGAGGACTGGGAGTTGCGAGACTATTGGCGAGAACACAATCTGGAAGAGAGAGACTTTACTTTCTTTTCGGATAGACATCAATCTTTTTCAAGAATTGACTTTTTTTTTTTATTACAACGGATTTATACTTTAGAGTAAAGAATGTAAAGATATTCCCAAGGACATTGACAGATCATAGTCCAGTATGGATGGAATTGGTTACTGAAAAAGAGGAGAGAAGATCTTGGAGGTTGAATGAAAATTTGTTTAGGCAAGAAATGAATGTTCAGAAACTTAAAGAGCATTTAAAGGAATATTTTGTTTTAAATATGCATAAGGGTACTTCAATGTCAATGGTATGGGATGCAGGTAAAGCTTATATGCGTGGGGTTTTGATGCAAATGAATAAGATTCATAGACAGAAACAGGTGCAGAAACGTAAGGAGCTGGAAGACGAGATTAAAATAAAAGAAAAAGTTTAATCTTGAATCCTACAGATGAGAAGACTAAGGAATCTATAAAACTGCTTAAATCGCAATTTAATATGTTAATGGCAGATCAGACTGCAACTAACTTACTGTACATGAAACATAACACATTTTGTAATGCTAATAAGCCAGGGAGATGGCTGGCCTGTCAATTGCAAAAGAAACAGAAATTGAGAATTATAGACAAAATAAATTATAAAGGTAAATTGGTATTTCAGAAGGACTTGATTAAGAAATTTTAGATTATTATAAAAAATTATATATGGGTAGGAAAGTACAGGCTTTAGATATAGATAAATATTTACAAGATGCTCATTTTCCTAAACTAACAGAAGATCAGAAACAAGAAATCAATAGATTAATGGGCACAAAATTTTGATGAACCGATTTTATTAGATACATGGGAGATTATTTGGGTGAGGAATGTTAAATTCACGCAAGCCCAAAACTTACGGGAAAACTTTTATAAAATGTTTTATAGATGGCACCTTGATCCACAAAAAATGTCTCGTATGTATCCAAACCTGCAGCCTAAATGTTGGAGATGTGGTTGCTCGGATGCTACTTATTATCATATCTGGTGGTCATGTAAAAGTATTAAAGCTTTTTGGATTAAGATATGGTGGAATATTCAAAGAATTTTTAAAAGAAGGATAAAATTTATTCCACAATTGTTTTTGTTGGGTATTGTTTCTGATTGTGATGATAAAGAGATTATTTTAATGTTAAATTTAATTACTGCAGCTAGGTTGTTAATAGGGCAATATTGGAAGAAGGAATCTTTGCCTACTTTGCAAGAATGGTTTTTTAAAGTTTCTTACTTAGCGGAAATGGCAAAAAATTCGGCTTTCTTGAAAGATCAATTGCAAGAGAAGTATCTTTTGGTGTGGAAAAGATGGATAAATTTTATATAATATAAGTATGATATAAGAAAATATTATTTAGCTTTTGAATAATTTATATAAGTTTAAGATATTATTTAGAAGTGTAATTGTTATTATTCTTTAATTTTTTATTTTTTATTTTCTCTGTTTTTTTCTTCCTCTTTTTGTTTTTTATATATAATGGAGTTAAAGTACTTTACAATTTGTTTATTGAGTGTAATTATATTTGCTTAAGGTTTATTTGGGTTTAAAACTTTTTTTCTTTTAAGATCTAGTTAAGCCTGTATTCAGCTCTGGGAAGAATGGGGGAGGGTTTTGGGGTGGGTTGGGAGGGATTGTGGAAGGGGTTTTTATTGTAAAATTTTAAAATTTATATATATATATATATATATATATATAGGTCTTTGGTTGTTCGGGTTTTCTCCCGCGTAAAATTGGAAGTGTCTTGGTAACGTTTCGACGAAGTCACATTCGTCATCTTCAGGCTGGTGTTTTTAGCTTCTTGCTTTGAGCATTTTCCTTATAAATACACACATAGGAGAGAACCAGATATTGAACTCTATAATATGTACAGGATATTCATCAGTAGAGTTTTTGTTCATTCAAAAATGACCTATATGTTCATCAGTCACATGGGTGAAGCTAATTTGGAAAAATGAAGCCAGCTGTGGATATCTAATGAGGTTCTTACCCCACCTCTAACAGTTTCTAACTGCTATCTTATTTGTATGTTTCATATTTTATCTTAATATCTGGACAAATTTCTGCAGCATGGACGCTACTTTTGCCTTCACTGCCAGCCCTTCCCAACCACAGGTAAGTGATAATAATTATGTATGACAATGATAAATACATCTTTTCAAAGTTTAGTTAAAATCCAAGGTATTAGAATATTATGTTTGGCTACTTATTAAAATAGGATACATTTGCTCTATATTATAAATCATAGGGCAGAATGGAGCCAAACAGACAAATTAAACAGCTATTAATAAAAAAGCCTTAACATTATAAAATCAATGCTTATATATAAGTTAAAGCCTCCAGTAAGACACAAATGCTTGTATAAATAGCCAGATCTTTATTTCACACTGGAAGGAAGTCATTATTGCTGCCAGCTGTACATTTTTTTCATTGGCACTGAAATGAAATTGCAACGGGTGCCAGCCGTACATTCCTATATACAATAATGGGCAGGTGAAGAAGAGCTGTTTTTGTCCTTTCTTGGATTCTTCTCTTCATCCTGTCATTAAGTTCCTCTATTCAGGTGTGGATATTTATGCCTGGGAAGAACAAGGTTCATTGGTATGATCTTGTAGTATTAGTATTAGAAGCTGCATGAACCTGATAATAAAATGGAATAAAAATTGAAATCTCTTTAAGATCCAGGTTGTATTGCCAATCAATCTCCATCTGGGGTCGATCGCTACATCAGTTGACGATAAAAGAGATGCCAGTGATGATTTCCTCAGGGATGAAGAAACCAACCTGGCATATATTATCCACATCTAATTTATCCTATCATCTTTGTTTGTAGAATATCAAAAATATTACAATAACAAAAATTTTAATTTCAAAATAACACTTTAATAAAGAGAATCAGAAATATAAGACATAATGGAAATGTGATTACTATTACACTACTTCTTTCTTTAAATGCTATTTGTTTTTGAAAGAAAAGTCCTTTCTGCATGATGACTTACATGTATCCAGTGTAGCTTTTGACCCCCAACATCCCACTGAAACGTACAGGGAAAATCTAGCAGTTCTATCTGTTTTCTAAATTTGCAATACTGCAATTCCCTAAAAATAAACAAATATCAATAAAAAAGTAATAACTCAATACATAGGTAAAACTGTTGTGAACGGGAGATGATTTTGACATGATCTAGAGTCATTCAGCAGTATGATTTTGTAGGAGGAGGGCAGTGGTAGTCTGGTAACAAATGGTCAGGGTAGCCCGAATAAATGGACATTAGGATCAGGAGTAGGGTAATCCAAATGGATGGAGTGGAAATCTATAAAATATACCAAGAAACTGGCACAAACAGACATCATTTTTTTAACCGATGAAAACAATATGAAATTCTCAAAAAAATAAAAATGAAGCACCTCTGTGCAATGTACATACTATGCAGACTACCACCTAATAGAGGGTCTCAATAAAAATGTTTTAACACATCACCCTAATTCAAACACTACTCTCTCTATACATCTGATGAAGTGAGCAGCCTCTTCTTTTAATAAAATTTTGTTAGTAAGAAAGCTGCAACCAGATTCTTTTTTATTTTCAGCAATGTCACATGCCGGAAAGATAAGCTGTATAGTATACTGCATTTCCCCCCCTTCCATTCAGTCACTTGCAATTCTGCCTGGACTAGTCCCTGCTGTTTTCTTGGCAAAGTTTTTTTTGGAAGTGGTTTACCATTTTCTCCTTCCTAGGGCTCAGACAAAGCGAGTGGCTCAAGGTCACCCTACGGGTTTTGTGCCTAAGGCAGGATTAGAAAGAAATGGGTAAATTTAGCTTTAAAATAGGAGATGTAAGGGCATTCTTCATGTAAGTAAAATGTCTCTTAGAGGAAGTCCTTGATGCATACCATGTAATCCCAGAATGCAAGGAAAAAAGTGGATTCCACTTGATAGTGCAATCAATTACTCAGGCATAGAAGGGTTCCCTTTTAGTGATTCAGCAGAAGTAAAAGTTGGACAGACATCTGTCCATATTTTAATTTGAATTTCTGCATTGAGCATGGAGTTGAACTTGAACTAAATAATGTTGTTAATTGCGAAGTCGTGTCCGACCCATCGCGACCCCATGGACAATGTTCCTCCAGGTCTTCCTGTCCTCTACCATCTTCTGGAGTCCATTTAAGTTCACATCTATTGCTTCAGTGACTCCATCCAGCCATCTCATTCTCTGTCGTCCCCTTCTTCTATTGCCCTCAATCTTTCCCAGCATTAGGCCCTTCTCCAATGAGTCCTTCCTTCTCATTAGGTGGCCAAAGTATTTGAGTTTCAACTTCAGGATCTGGCCTTTATGGATTACTGCCTTGTCGTGGCGAAGGGGCTTGCGTAACTCAATGAAGCTATAAGCTATGCCGTGCAGGGCCACCCAAGACGGACAGGTCATAGCAGAGAGTTCTGACAAAATGTGATCCACTGGAGAAGGAAATGGTAAACCACTCCAGTATCTTTGCCATGAAAATCCCATGGACAGTACTAAAAGGCAAAAAGATATGACGCTGGAAGATGAGCCTCTCAGGTCGGAAGGTGTCCAATATGCTACTGGGGAAGAGCAGAGGGCTAGTACTAGTAGCGCCAGAAAGAATGAAGCGACTGGGCCAAAGCCGAAAGGACGCTCAGCTGTGGATATATCTGGTGGTGAAAGGAAAGTCCGATGCTGTAAAGATTTTTTCTCCATAGGAACCTGGAATGTAAGATCCATGAATCAAGGCGAACTAAATAATAAAATCATAGAATTGGAAGTGAACTTAGAAGTCAACCGGTGCTACTCTCTGCTTAGTACACTTTCAGCAAGAGCATATTTGAGAAATAACTATTTCACCTCTGACGATCTCCAGCAGAAAATAACTCTCCCCTATATGTGACATTCTCTTCCATTAGGTGGCAGCTGCTCTGATCAAGAAGTTCTTCCTCTGTCTGACCTCTATACTAACTTCCTTGTAATATTACTCTAGATTCTGGTCCTGTGCAATGTTTGCTCACAATAGCAGTGTGATAACCCTTCAAACATATGCAAACGGTATCATTTCTCCTTCAGTTATTTCTTTTGAAGGTTAAATATAAGTAGATTTTTTTAACCACTTCTCAGTATATTGATTGATAGTTATCAAAACCAGAAAGCTTCTAGAGGCAATGCTTATTGTGTAATTCCTTGATAATAAAAAGCAGAGGAGCAGTGTTTGGCCTGGCAGGGATCAACTATGGGCCTCTTTGTCTTCATCCCCCATCTTACTCTTCTGCTCATCCTAAGCTTATCCAGTTTCCAGCAATATCCGGCCTGACTCCCCTGTTAAAAGGTTGCCGCACTGCCATCCCTTCCAGAAAAAGGGGAAACTGAATGTTTATTTTCCCCTTTGATAAAATGAACTGATTTTTTCCAGAACCTCCTCATTACAGATAGTCCTCAACATATGAGCACAACTGGGACCAAAATTTCCATTGCTAAGCAAAGTGGTTGTTAAGTGAGTCATGCCCAGTTCTATGATCTTTTTTGCCACAGTTGTTGAGCAAATCATTGCAGTTGATCATATGGTCATTAAGTGAATCCAGCTTCCTCCATTGACTTTGCTTGTGGGAAGCCAGATGGGAAGGTTGCAAATTGTGATCACTTAAGTATTTGCATGAATGACCTTATGGGAATAGTAGGCTTGTAACTGTTATTTATTTCTTCCAATAATATTTTAAAAATAAAAATAGTAAAATCCAATATGAAAATAAAAATCAATAAAATGAAAGTGGACCATTTTGGGTCCTTAGAACGCTTTACAAGGCTGATTTGGTCCTTGATATCTTTTAATTAGGGGAAGGTTTGATAATTATGTCGGGAAAAGGGGAAGGTTTGATAATTATGTCGGGAAAAGCACTGAGCATTATAAAGGTATGGTGGAAAACAGGAAAATGTTTCCTTAATTATCCCAAATATGCTTTTTCAAAAGGCAACTGACTTTGTTTTTCCTTGAAGACGTTTCACTTCTTCAGTTCTGAAGTTCTTTAAATATGGGTGAGCCCCATTTACCCAAGATAGTAATGCTGATACCATGATACCTCTGAGTCTGTGCATGACTTGCCCTGTTGTCAGCCATGACCTGGATGACTGAGAATCTCCATAGACATTTCCTTAATTAAGTAAAAGTTTTGTCATCTCTTCCAAGCCATTAGAGATATAATATTTTTATTATTTTTTTAACTTTCCTCTAGATCAGGCACCAACCAGCACAAAGCTTGCTTTACTGCGGTGAAATTGTTGTATTGTGTGGATATAACAGCAGTTCCCTGAGTGGCTAGTATCTGAAAAACTTGCTTCACTTAGCATTCTTCTTACATATAATATAGACTTTCATAGGGCCTCTGGTGGCTGATAGTCACTCTGGAATTTGGGCTGCTTTTGGTTGAGGGATTATTTATTGATTGTATTTATGGGATTAATTTTTGGTTGAGGTTTGGGTTTTATGCTGATTAACTATGTGGAGATATCTACTCACCTTTAAATAAACCCAGGTAGAGCTCTACTTTAAATATTACCACTCAACAAGGCAAGTCAGGCATAGACTCAGAGGCATGGTGGCATCAGCATGACTGTCTCAGATAAATGGGGCTTACCCATATTTAAAGATTATCTTTATAGCAGAAAGAATTGTAAAAGTATTTTCTCTCTTCGTAGTACTTTTTGTACCAGTTCCCTCCTGATGTGGATTCTGTCATTGTCAGAGTGATTTCTAAGGCAATCTATCCCTGCTCTGTTGTCTCCATCCAAGATATTGTGGTAAGTCCTGCTTGTTTATGATACCCTACTTGAATATTGGTAGTGTTTGTCTTTGCTTACCGTACTATTGCTGTTCAATTATAATATTTATTATAAAGTGCGAATCAGATTTGGACCATTCCTGCATTCAGAATCAAATTGGGCTGATTCAGACAGATCTGAGCTGCCTTCAAAGCAGGTAGTTTCCAAGTCTGCATCCTCCTAAAGTTGTTTGTATTCACTTAAGACAGCGAGAGAAAAACAGTATGCCTGAAAACTGATTAATTTCTTGTGAACCTCTTCAAATAAGACAAATATCCGTTTCAGAGAGGAGGCGTGCAGAGATAAGGAATTCAAAGAAGAGTTACATTAACATCCACTTAGCCATGAAAGAAAGGAGATTGAGAAAGAGGCTCAAGATACCCTTGATTCTCTTGGGTATAAAGAGGGAGACAGAGAGAAACCCTGGTCAGGCTTTCAAGATTCTGTTACCATACTTTGCAACAGGGTTCCAGTAGTCTTTGTAGTAGCTGTTTCCTGACTCAACCTATCTCACAGGACTGACAAAGTAGCTGGGGAGGAAGGGAGGACATTGTTTTTGCTAGTGACATTACTAACTTCCAGTAATAATAAGACTTAGCAAGAGCAGTGATGATAAAAATAAGTATTGTTTTACTTTTGAAGTACCTCACAAAGAAGAGGCAGGTGCTATTTAGAAGGAAAAACTGTTTCTGCTTCACTGAGAGAGAGAACTGTACAAACATGGGATGGAGACACAGACTCTACATGGCCCAAATTTGTATTGTCCTCTTTTTCCATAAGGCAGAAATGATAGCAGACTTTCCAAACCTATTACAGTCATCCCTTCTGTGTAGAAAATATTTTTTTTCATTCCTCTCTTGTTAATTTCCTTCTTTCTTTCCTATTAGTTCCTCCATGTTTATTCCTTTTTTCGCCTTTCCCAGGTCAGATATCCCTTACCCTCAACCCATCTCACTTTTTCTTTTTCCTGTCTGCTGCTTGGAGGGAGGGCAATGTTTTGATTTACATGCATATTTGTGTGAGATGCATGTACATTAATGTTATGCAGAGAGTTCCTTGTGTTAGTTAATTCAGATAAAATTATTTTTTTGTCTTGGCTCAATCCTTTTCTAGAATGTTGCTTTTATTCCCTCATTCTGTGTTTGTGTGTGTGTGTTCACTTACATGTGTAGAACTTCTATCTATTTTGTTTATTTGTTTGTTTGTTTGTTGTTACTTGTTTATAGGGATGGGTGGCATTTCTGCAGGTGGCTTTACCTGGATTTGGCAACCTTAAGCTGATAAAGTGGGAAAGCTGCTCATTGCACAGGAGTTTTGTCTGTGTTTGTCATTTGTTTCTACTCTTCATTTTGGGAGAAGGGTTCTTTGAAATTCAGAGTCATCTTCATTTTGATAAAGATGGTGTATAATAGTACCATGTGTTCTTTAATAATTCTTTCTTCTAGGCAGAACATCAAAAAAAGGTATACAAATTAAGCAAGCTCAAAGTGGCTCGAACTGGGAGCCACTGAATTGCTCTGTGATATAATGAAACATGGGAATAAAGCTGAAGGTCTGAAACAGCTTGAATGGCCCTGTTCTGAACTGTGATCAAGAGAAAGAGAGAATCGGGAAGGCCTGCCAGGAATCTGTTACAATAATCAGATATACAGAAGCAGAGGTAGCTCTCTAATCAGCTTCTTCATCTGTTGCAGTGTCCAGTTTATGATTTGGATTATAATGTGGAATTTAATGGAGTTTATCAATCCATGACAAAGCAGACAGCCATCACTGTGCAGGTGAGTGGATGGTGCTGTCTACTGTAGTCAGTCTGCTTTTGATGGACGGGAAAGTTGGGGGGCAACTAGGCTGATCAGGATTTTCTGCAGTCAATCATATGGATGGATAGAGACATTTTGGAAGGTAGAAACTCAGCTGCGAAAATCTGTCCATATTTAGAGAGAAGAGCATGGGAAAACTGGCAAACATAGGAGAGGGCAGGCAATACTGAGCCAGGAGAAGTTGACTGCAGGCAGATGAGAAGTCTGTGACAAATCCAAGAAAAGGAGAAAGAAGGAATCCATTGTAAGGAAAAACATATAAGAATGCTGTACATTTCCTTGAGTTTGAATGCATCTACACTATGTGCACACAAAAACATATCTGCAAGCAGTTGAGAAATCTCAAGCAGTTGATTTTCATTAGAAGTACTAGTGAGAGCATGGTCACTAAACCAGAGATAGCCGGTGATCTTGGATCAAGAGGCATATTTGAAGTTTTGAAAAAATGTTGATCATCACAGAATCATGGCCCTCTGGACCCCTTTGGCAGCTCCAGAAGTCACCAAGTGTTCCAACTTTTGAAAGCACAAATGGCCCTTTTCAGGGTCATGATGTCCTTCCTTAGAAAAGAATTAGGGTTGAAATAGGTAACTTAAAGCTCTTGGAAGCTCAAGACCCTCTTTTCTGCAATAAGACCTTAACTCCAATTTTATTTTAAATGTTTAGTTATACAATAGTTTATTGTGGTCTTCAACTAGCATGAGGTAAAAACATAGAGATTATGAAATTAATAGCTATGTCCTGAAAACAGTCTGTGGAGGTAGTGAGTTAAAAGATAGAAGTTAGTATTAAAAGATAAAGTTAAAAGATGGCAAAATAAAAGCTGCAAATGCTTATAAAATTAGGAAGTACAAAACACCTTTATGGTTAACTAAAATTAAAATTTAGTTAAAATTAAGTGTTGAATACAATAAAATATATTATAATTGTAAAAACTCATTAAAATTCAGTTGTGGTGAAAAACTATAGAACTGAATAACTAAGAAATAGCAAGATAATAATTATGACTGATTAGCTTAGCTGGCACACACTACCTGCCAAATTTTACACACTATGCAATGTAAAACATGGCAGCATTACGTTAGGAGGGAATTACACTCAGAGCGTATACAGTAAGCCAGTATGGCCTGGGAGAATACAGATGGCTGTGTAAAATGGGCAGGAAAGGAGGACATAGAATCATAGAGCTGGAAGGGACGTTGAAGGCAGAAGACTTTATTCTATCACATGGTTGGTGGCATCTTGAAAGTACAGATGTTCTTGGAAGAGGATCTTTCTTTTATTTTCCATCTAGCACAGCAAAAGAAAGGGCATTGTAGAGAGCCAGACCCAAAGATGCTTTTTCACGAGTCAACTAGACTTTCTTTTTTCTCTTTGAAGGCATTTTGCTTTTTATCCAAAAAGCTTCTTCAGCTCTGACTGCATGGTGGGGAATGGAAGGATTTATACTCCTTGCAGACAGCTGCATTCTTTTAGAGAGTTGTTGATGCCACCTGGAGGCTTATCTGTGTCATCAGGGTCACCTGAATAATGCAAATGAGTATGGAGCCTTCTTAGAACTGCTGAAAACACTGTGTTGTAGATAGAAGATAGATGATGTCATACCCTCCCCTTCTGTTGAGAGAGTGCTGTTCAATTTTGACATAAATGGCCTCTTTGACCCCTCTTTCAGAGCCAGATCTTTCTGTGGTTAGGAGCTGAGTAAAATATGCAGCTGCTGTTATTATATATATTAGGAATCATAACTGAAATAATGTTATTGATTTGCTTATGTTCCTAGACCAATCATAAATGCAAAATACAACAAATATTGTATTTTTTTAAAAAAATGCATTAAATTATATTTAAAAAGTGAAACAATAATGTGAAAGAGCACCATCCATGACTATTGATAAGAATTTTGCAATCTTCTTAGGCTTCTTTCCATTTTGCATATGTTACAGGCAATTTAAAGAATATACTATCCAGGAAAGATAAATTTGTTAGAGTTAAGATCACTTGATTTCATATGGATCTAGTCAACTTTGCAAAGAATATTTGTGACACATGATTCTTGTGCCAGAATACCTGGGCATAATAAATAATGGACACAGGATGATCTTGCATTTTTGTATAAGTCACAATATCTCATCTGTGGACCTGCTTTTGCAATGTGCATAATAATATATATTGATGTTGGATTATCTGTATATATTGGCAGGATTTTATTTTTCTTTTAAAAATATAGGAATACAGCTTAGAAATAGACTCCTTTTTTACATCTTCTGTTGTTTTAGATTAACCACTGGCCAATCATAGCTATTGTATGCTAAACCTTTGGAATTCTGAATAATTTCTATCTAATCATTTCCTCTTTTACAAGAAAAGACTTTTAAAAAAATAAACCATAATTTTCTTTCTCTGGGCATTGTGTGTGTGTCAGTCACTGCTATTTATTCATTTATTGCCTAGATCTCTAAAAAAAAACTTGACTTCACAACAATGAAAGAGCAGAATAATTGCTTTTATTTCAATGGATTTTAGAAGGATTAAAATTTGCTCTATTTCAAGAAGATAAGTGGGCCTGTCAGGGCTTATTTAGGAGATCAACTGCCTCCCCTTCACCTCTCCCTTACTGTCCAATTATCTTTCCTAACTATAGTTGTCTACCAGCATTAAAAGTTATTGTGTTTTTTATTGCACAGAAAAAGGACTTCCCAAGCAAACAGTTTTTTGTTGTATTTGTTATAAAGCCAGAGGACTATACCTGTGGTGGTTCAAGGCCACCCTCCATTCAAGGTAGGTGAGTTATGATCAAGAAGATCAAGAAGAATACTCTCTCTCAATGTTTCTGTTTTGGACATTGTTATTATTCTAGATTGTCATGGCAATCGCAGTGGGACATATACTGTAATTGTTACATAAAATTTAATTTCCTTGAAAGAAGTCAAACTAGGTCCTGGGAAATGAAATCAAGAGTTTCCAGATGGGCACACTTCTATGAAGATACTCTGAAGACACACTGGCTGAAGTATAAAGTAGTGAGGCTACCCAAGTGGTCACTTTAAATGCAGTGTCTTCTGCTCTGACTACCTTTCATGCTAATCTGGACTTGTAAGATAGTGTGAGTCAAGATGCCTCCACAATACAAGGAGTTGCAGCTCAGATATTTATCTTTCTAATTCAGAAACAGAGTCTCACCTACACAAATCACTATGGCAATAATAGTGAATCTTGGGGCCTACTAAGGCTGCTTCCCCTTATTTAGGATAGAGGAATGGCAATTTAGTTGGGAGCTCTACCTTGGGGTACTTAGACCTCAATAGCAGCATCTAAAGTAGGGATCTTCAAACTTGACCCTGGCTGAGGAATTCTGGGAGTTGAAATCCACAAGTCATAGAAGGGCCAAGTTTGAAGATCCCTGCTCTAAAGGCTTTCTTTCCAGAATAGGAAGCTCAATGCACCACTTATGCTGAAAAGACACATCCAGGTAGGGATCCCTGAAGGGTTTTTCCTTGGAATGTAGCTTTTTCAACTATCAACAAAAGGAACCGGGATTCCTTTAGTTTATATGACTTTCCTGGGTTAGGGAAAGTCCTAGAATTATCCCTCAATGTCCTCCAATACAGCAAAGGTCTGCAAGTAGCATCAGAAGTTGCGCTTCGAAGCAGACTGTGTGCCAAAAGGTGGGGGTCGGGGCTGCAATTAGTTCATTGTTGAAGAAACAGCCATTTTAGAATTTATTTTTCAAATGGACAGTAAGTTGTGCCTTTCATTTCTTAATAATTTTTAAGGACCATTAATCTTCATTAAGCTAAAAGAGGATCTCTTTAGCTACAACGTTTTTGAAAATCTGTGCCATTTTGGGGATTTCTTCTTGCTAAACAACAAGGAAGAAGGCTGCTAAGGCAAGCTAAAATAGAGGGTACCTTGCTCAATAGTAGTAACTGTGAGAGGGACCTCGGAGTCCTAGTGGACAATCACTTAAATATGAGCCAGCAGTGTGCTGCAGCTGCCAAAAAGGCCAACACAGTGCTGGGCTTCAGAGATATAATCAAGATCACGTGAAGTATTAATACCACTTTACAATGCCTTGGTAAGGCCACACTTGGAATACTGCATCCAGTTTTGGTCACCACGATGTAAAAAAGATGTTGAGACTCTAGAAAGAGTACAGAGAAGAGCAACAAAGATGATTAGGGGACTGGCGGCTAAAGCATATAAGGAAAGGCTGCTGGAATTAGGTATGTCTAGTTTAATGAAGAGAAGGACGAGGGGAGACATGATAGCAGTATTCCAATATCTCAGGGGCTGCCACAAAGAAGAGGGAGTCAAGCTATTTTCCAAGGTACCTGAAGGCAGGACAAGAAGCAATGGATGGAAACTAATCAAGGAGAGAAGCAACCTAGAACTAAAGAGAAACTTCCTGACAGTTGGAACAATTAACCAGTGGAACAACCTGCCTCCAGAAGCGGTGAATGCTCTAACACTGGAAGTTTTTAAGAAGAGACTGGACACCCATTTGTCTGAAATGGTATAGGGTTTCCTGCCTGAGCAGGGGGTTGAACTTCAAGATCCCCCTCACAGTTACTGCTATTAAACCAGGTTTCACCTAATCTGTATGTATACTTGGTTTTTCTTGCATAAGTGTAGGATTTTACTTTTCTCTATGTTACATTTCATTTTGTTAGATAGGGCCCAGTGTTCAAGTGTGTCGAGATCCATCTGGATCTTGAGTGTACTGAGGCAATTTCACAAGTCAACTGAAATTTTGGAATATAAACCTGACACCAATTTTTATTATGATGGTTTAACTAAAAGCCTCCCACACAACTGAAAGAAGAGCTCCAAGAAAATTTGCAACTTTTAAAAGGACTAGTTTGCGACTTTTTCCTTATAGATATTAACAAGGTTGAGAAATCCTTGAGAAAAAGAGAAGTTTATAACTACTTGACAAACATTCCAGAGAAGAAAAGGATTTTACTCCCTGAAGACAAGCTGGAAGGAGTGACTTAAACTTAATGAATCAATTAGAATTAGGATGGATTTTCATTGGTTTGATATTTGTAATTGAAAGCAAGTCTTAAAGTTTGAAAATGTATTTTTCATATATATATATATAATGCTTAAGAAATTCCTAAAGTTTGTAAAATATTATTGAAAGTATATTTGAAAATATCTATGTTAAGATAAAGTTAAAGAAAAAAATGTATTAGCTTAAAGAAAAATCTAAAATTTTAAAAAGGATGCACAGAAGAAGAAAAAAATATTCTATGAGGGTTACTTGGAGGGAGTGATCTAAATTTAATGAGTTAATTGGTGTTAGTTGGAATTTTATTGGTCTGAAAATGAACTTTAAAGTATGTATGCTAAGAAGAAGTTAAAAAACATGTATTAGAATATTTTAATTTTAGAAATGTTTTTAAAGAAAAGCTTAGTGTTTAAAAATGGATGAAAAAAAGTATTTTTCCCTTTAAGATTAAAGAAACTGAAAGAATATGGTGAATTTTGTTAATATAAATGGTGATAGTTTATAAAGGTTTATTAAGTGCAAAAAGAAATATATATTATTTCAACAGCAAGGAAGATAAAAGATAAATTGGTTTTTCTATTCAAAGAGAAGAATATATTTATGTTTTTTATTTGGATATCACTTCTGGATTTTGTGCTTGTGATAAAAAATGGAATTTTAACTTTGGTTTTGCTGATTAGATAGATTTGTTGTTATAGAAATGGCTAGTTATGTAAAAGTCAAAAGCTGAGGCTGGAATGTTGTTATCTTCTTTTTTTTGTAGAAAGCTTGTTTATTTCTTTTTATATATATATATAAATATTTTATTTGTTTTTAACAATAACAATCTCCAGTGCCTGGTGTACAGCATGTTGTCTTGGTTTTTATATTTGAAAAAGGAAAAAAGGCAATAATAATTAATTAATAGTCAATAATGATTAAATTTGATAATTCCATAATTAGTATATTAATTAATAATATATTTCTTTGATCTTCTCTTTTCCCATTTGTATTCTCCTTCTTCAACCTTAAACAAAACATAATTCTTAATATTTTCAATATATAAATGATTAAATATAGACATTTTTTCATGTTTATACAAATAGTGATAACATCTATGTATAACACATTTTTATCGGCTTATATTATTATTATAACCATCACCTCATTAGTTCACCATGCATCCTATGATTTTTGTTTAAGCTTAATTTCCCCTTATTCAATCCATTCTTATCAGTCATGATTTTCTCAATATTAATCATCTAAATATCCAATTTTTTCCATTTAGGTACACCATCCCAATGTTTTCATATTTCATGTATTATAAAAATACTGTACTTCTTGTCTATCTTATAACATCTGGGTATAACATCGTTTCTGATCAGCTTATATTTCACTTATATTTATAAAAGTTACATCATCCCAATATTTTTACATTTCATATATTGTAAAACATACTATATTACTTAAATCTCTTATCCCTCTTGTTATAGGGCCCCTTTATGTTCAGAGTTCTCTATTTTTCTAACCATATTCAAACAAGTGTTTACTCATGTAATACTCCATCTGATTTGTTGTTGTTGTTAATTGCAAAGTCGTGTCCGACCCATTGCGACCCCATGGACAACGTTCCTCCAGGTCTTCCTGTCCTCTACCATCTTCTGGAGTCCATTTAAGTTCACACCTACTGCTTCAGTGACTCCATCCAGCCATCTCATTCTCTCTCGTCCCCTTCTTCTATTGCCCTCAATCTTTCCCAGCATTAGGCCCTTCTCCAGTGAGTCCTTCCTTCTCATTAGGTGGCCCAAGTATTTGAGTTTCAGCTTCAGGATCTGGCCTTCTAAAGAGCAGTCGGGGTTGATCTCTTCTAGGACTGACCGGTTTGAACGCCTTGCAGTCCAAGGGACTCGCAGGAGTCTTCTCCAGCACCATAGTTCAAAGGCCTCAATTCGTTTGTGCTCAGCCTTTCTTATGGTCCAACTTTCACAGCCATACATTGCAACTGGGAAAACCATGGCCTGGACTATACGCACTTTTGTTGGCAGGGTGATGTTTCTGCTTTTTAGGATACTGTCTAGATTTGCCATAACTTTCCTCCCCAGGAGCAAGCGTCTTTTAATTTCTTGGCTGCAGTCCACATCTGAGGTGATCTTGGAGCCCAGAAAAATAAAATCTGTCACTACCTCCATTTCTTCCCCATCTATTTGCCAGGAATTGAGAGGGCCGGATGCCATGATTTTTGTTTTCTTAATGTTGAGTTTCAAGCCTACTTTTGCACTCTCCTTCTTCACCCGCATCAAGAGGCTCTTTAGTTCCTCTTCACTTTCTGCCATTAGAGTGGTATCATCTGCATATCTTAGGTTGTTGATATTTCTCCCGGTAATCTTAATTCCAACTTTTGATTCATCTAGCCCTGCCTTTCTCACGATGTGCTCTGCATATAAGTTAAATAAGCAGGGTGACAGTATACAGCCTTGCCGGACTCCTTTTCCAATTTTGAACCAATCAGTGGTTCCGTGTCCAGTTCTCACTGTTGCTTCTTGACCTGCATATAAGTTTCTCAAGAGACAAATGAGATGGTCTGGTACTCCCATCTCTTTAAGAACTTGCCATAATTTGTTGTGATCCACACAATCAAAGGCTTTTGCATAGTCAATGAAGCAGAAGTAGATGTTTTTTCTGGAACTCCCTAGCTTTCTCCATGATCCAGCATATGTTGGCAATTTGATCTCTAGTTCCTCTGCCTCTTTGAAATCCTGCCTGTACTTCTGGTAGTTCTCGATCCACA